AATTTTGGAAAATTACATTTATCATTACCAATTAAAAAATTAAATTAGTGATGATATGCTAATTGTGAAATTATCTCCTTATCAGGTTTNATAGAATATTCAAATGTTTCATTTAAAAATTGTATCCATTAAATTTGCAATTTTGGAAAATTACATTTATCATTACCAATTAAAAAATTAAATTAGTGATGATATGCTAATTGTGAAATTATCTCCTTATCAGGTTTTAATATACTATAGAATATTCAAATGTTTCATTTAAAAATTATATCCATTTATTTGCAATTTCAATTTACTATAGAATATTCAAATGTTTCATTTAAAAATTGTATCCATTAAATTTGCAATTTTGAAAAATTACATTTGTCATTGCTAATTAAAAAATTAAATTAATAATGATATATTAATTGTTAAAATCATCCCTTTATCATTGGAACAAGAAAACCTATAATTTTTATGCAATTTTTTATTGCACTTAATTATTTCAGTAATTGTATCACATTATTGTTTTATCTTATATATTCTTAAAAACTTTTAGGTTCGATCTTAATTTGTTGAATACAATTAATTCAGTAAATGTTAGCCAAAATAATTTGTTCAGCTAATTACTGAATAAATTTTCAAATAATTATCATCATTACTATTCAATCAATAGCTTATCATATTTTAAGAATTCAATTCTGTCATTTATAAATTAGTGAATTATTGTTGCAAATATACTTTAAAGCAAAAATTAAAACATTTATTATTTAATTGTTCTGCCTAAATTTAAATTAACTCCTCATCATTTATTACCATTCATTTTTAATTAAAGTTTAGATTGAACTAATCGAATGTGATCGAAGCGTTTCTTCTAAAATTAAATCATTTATCAATGATATATTTCAAATTTACTTTTATAAAGATTTGTTGAAATTTTTAAAAGTTTCTCTATTGGTCTTATATCATTTCAATTATATTAATGGAACAGATATCTTTTTCAAAATTTACAGCTAATATCCTTTGAACCAAAATTACTTCTTCTCAAATAAAACTTATCATCATTTATCGTTGTAAAGAAGAGTTTGCAGTAATTAAAAATTTTTCGCAAATTAAAAATTCGACGGTTTGTAGTATCTTGTCGTATTTTTACTAATGTTATCACGTTATCACAAAAAAAAAATCATTTCGAATTTTGATTTCTCTATATTTACAATATCAAAAGAAGTCATTGAATTAAATTAATTATGTTAATTATGAAAAGATAATTAAAAATTATGTAACTATATCAGCCAATTCTTCAATTTCTTTTCTTTTATAATTTTAGAATTCATCAGATTATTTTTACTGGATATTTGATAATAATTTTTTATTAAGTAAAAATTATAAGAACTGAAAAAATCCATTTTTCTTAGAATCAATATTATATATATAATTTACCAAAAATTTTTATGGTACTTTATATTTTGCATTGCTATAAATATGAAATGAATTGTTTAATATACTTTAACATGATATGAATTAAATAAGCTTTGAAAATATCATAATTGCAATCAAAATTTGCTTTATCTTTTATCACATTAATCATTTCATAAAGGAAATATTCAACAAAATGGAATATCGATACGATCATATTGTTGTTATGTTAATTAAAACTAAATTCCAACTCTAGCATTATATTTATTACTTATTGATTTCAAATTTATACTGTCACAACTTTCACAAATACTTTCTAATTTCTCTTAGAGAAAATGAAAAAAATAAAAATAAATGAAAAGCTCCAAATATCATAATTAAACTGAATTTGAATAAAATAGTACGGTCGAAATTTTTCAACATCTAAATTAAAACATATCTTTTCCCTTTTTTTTGAATGCCTTAATTCATTTCAAAAAATTTGGAAATAGTTAAGGCATTCAAAAAAAAAGATATGTCCTAATTTCGATGTTGAAAAGTTCAAATTTTAATTTTAGTATCCTAATATTTGGCCTAAATAAGGTATGAAATATGCATGGGCTTGTAATTCTTTCCATTTATTTTATCATACATATTAAATTTCAAACTTAACCATTTAGTAATTATTTGCTAGATGCTCTAATTCTCATTCACATTTTATAAATAAAAATTTGTACTGCTTGATATATACACCTGCGCTATTTTAATAGTTGAACAGTTATCGCACTATTTTAATAGTTGAACACCTGTTATCATCTAATTTAAATATCCTAATTAAAAAAAATACTATAAAGCTAAATGCTCCTTTGTTATTTTAATAATTTCAAAAAAAACTTATCATTAACGATCGTCGTAAAAAACAGTAGAGTTTGCATAATAAGCAAAATTTTTTTTCGGCAAATTAAAATTTTCAAATAAAAAATTTAAAATAAAATTAAAAGTTTAAAATTTAATGCAACGAAATATTTTATAGTATAGTAATTAATAATAGATTAATTAAATTATTTCAAGTGGAAATAAATGTCTTTGTAATATTTCAAAATTTTTGAAATTTTCTCGACGATCCAATTTTTTCATTGTTTCATAATAATTATGCAAAATAAATAACTTTGTACATGTATTTTATAATACTTAATGTGTATGTTACAAACAAACTTAACGTTTACAAATGAAAAATTCATTTATTTCATTCTATTACAGTATGGCAATATCCGAATTCTTCAAATATTTACCTTTAATTAATAAAATATTCAGCGCCTAAAACGTTTCGGTTCAGCTGGGTGCTGTAAAAGTAAGGAAAAGAATGATCGTAAGTAATTTTCTGCTTTTTAAATAAATATAGGCATTATTAATGTTACATGAAATTTCAGGTTAAACAACGAAAATCAATTTAATGAATTTCAGGTTAGATAAATTATCTGGCATATATTGTTAAATCATTAATAATATCCAAGTATAAAACAATGAAAAAAAAGTTATAACAAAAAAAGAAATTAAAAAAAAGTTTGGAAAAATAATTTAATTATTAAATTGAAAAAAAAATGAGGTGAAAAATTAACAAATTATCACTTATACACTATTTATACTTAAGAATTTAAGGATTGATATTTTGTAATCAATAATTTGCTTTTATGTTATTTCCGCGAAATTAATTATTGGATAGGATTATATCATATTTGTTTAAATGTTATTGATATTAGTAACGCAATTATCCATACAATCATAGTATCTATGATTCATAATATTTTGAATCATAATATCTTTTAGTAGTACTATGATATGTTTATATATATATATATATGAAGCGTATCATGATAAAAGAAAAAAATGCTATCCAGAAAATTATATTATATCCGTAAATTGAGCAAATGCAATATATCAATTAACATCAAGAAAGGTGAAAGGTGAAGTAGTGGAGAGGAAAAGTCAAATCTGTGCAAATTTTAGATTTAAATTTTCTTCTTCAAATTCAAGAAAATTTTTAAAAGAGATTAATATATATATGTAATAAATCTATAAATGAGATATTGTAATGTATTTAGGGATTAATAAATTCCATATTTTTCTCACAAAAATTATCGAATAAATTTAGAGAAAATTTTGTGATAAAATTTGAATAAAATATGAAAAGAAAAAAGGCCTTAAAAATGTTTGAGCAAAATTATAGTAATTTAATAAATCGATTGATGAAATGAATGTGCATGAATAAGATATTAATAACATTAATTAACGATTTCAATAATATTAATTAAGGATAAATGTATTAATATTGATATTAGATAAAACAATTAGATATTAGGTATTAATTATTAATATTAGAGATAAGCATTAATTAACAATGTTAATATTAGATATCAATTATTGATATTAGAATTATATAAGCTTTAATTAACATTTTTAATATTAGATATCAATTATTGATATTAGAATTATATATGCTTTAATTAACATTGTTAATATTAGACATCAATTATTGATAATAGAATTACATAAGCTTTAATTAACAATGCTAATATTAGATATCAATTATTGATAATAGAACTATATAAGCTTTAATTAACAATGTTAATATTAGATATCAATTATTGATATTAGAATTATATAGGCTTTAATTAACATTGTTAATATTAGATATTAATTACTGATATTAGAATTATATAAGCTCCAATTAGCAATATTAATATTAATTAAGGATAAACAAAGAAAAAAATTGAAAGGATTATTATTAATATGTATTTCTAATCCTAGCTGGTAATTTTATTTTTAATTTAAACTTCTATTAGTAATAATCTTTCAAAGAAATTCATTTATTTCATATTTGCTAAATTTGAATAATTCAAAATTAAAAATAATTTTAAATTAAATTGAAATAATATTCATAAATTCATCGATGAAGCAATATAGTAATCATCGTTTTCGAGATATGTTGCACAATGTGATGATGAAGTTGTCCAAGCTGATAAATATGTTGGAGAATTAATATCGGGGACATTGGTCGATTGAAGTTGTATTGGTGATGTTGGATTACTAAAATAAATAATCATTTATTAAATTGATTAAAATATTACCGTTGAAATATATTATTAAAATAAATAAATTGCAGTAAAAAAGGATGATAGATAATTAATAAAAATTTTTAAGAATTTTCTAATAATACTACAATATTCAAATTTTTATTGTTTCGTTTTTAATTAACTTCATTTCTGATAACAATGATAGTTTCACTTTTTGATTGAAAGATGATAATAAAGGATATCTTAAAAAAATTATTTATCATAATATATATAAATTTGAAAATTGGAAATACGCATAATTATGCATAATTATTAACACTTCCTTTTTCCTGACGATAATTGAGGAATCTTTGATAGAGATAAGGAAAAGAAAAAGTTTCGAATAGTTTTAAATCATTCGCATTAATAATTATTTCCAAATTTCTATTATAAATGTATTAAAATGATTATCTCAAATGATAACAACTGATATGATTTCTAGAAGATATTTTCCATTCTTCATCTTGAAATAAATCAAATTTTTTAATTATTTAAAAAACAAGGTATAATTCATCAAAACCTTTTAAATGGATCCATAATAAATGATGATAATGCATTGATCGTTGGTGAACATCGACGATAGGATGATTCATCGAAATCATTAGTTATATCAAAAGTAGGTGATGATTTATTCGAAGTATTATTTAACTGATTTGAAATTGGGCTGTAATATAAGAAATTTTTTAATTCTGCATTCAATTTTTTGAAATTGCAACTTTTGATATGTGAAAAATCAAAGAGAGGAAAATGAAATACTTCTATTTTAATCCAACAAATAATTTGAAATTATTATATAGCATTAATTTAGATTATCCGGAAGATGCAAATATACTTAAATAATGAAAGATAATCGGTTATCGAATCCGGAAAATAAAGATGACGAAAAAGATAAAGCTATCGAAAAAATTATTGCTCTTCAATATTAGTTAAATTAAGGTTTTAAAATGAAAAAACCTTTCAACGTCATCACACGAAGTAGAATTGCTTAAATTTGACCCTTTCAATTTTTCCACACATAAATTTTTCATCAATAAACTATCTGAAAAAAATCAAAATAACCTTTTCAAAATTTCGTTTATTGTTTTAATAGCATTTTTTGGTAGGAAAAATAATAGTAAAATAGTAATTAGAAAATTATTGCGTGTAAAATATAAAATGCATTATCGATTAGCAATATAGCTTTACTAAACTACTGAGAAGACTTTAACTATTGACTTAATTACTTAGATTCATTTATTATGATGGTGAAGTGCAAAAAGAAATATATATAAACAAGATTGATCATTTCAGAAGGATGTTATTTTTATGATACTATAATGAAATGGTTGAAATCAAAAATGATAAATTTTGATAAGTGTTAAAATATCTCTCTCATTTACTTAATTTTATAAGTTCAAAAAGAAAAGAAAAGATTAGCGCAAAAAAATTACCAGAATTTAAACGACCGGAAATTTTTCGTTCTTTTGTTTCGGTTAAAATTAATTCTTCCATTAATTGATCAATATTTGCGACACCTGATAATTTAAATACTAAAACATCCTCACAAACAGCATTAGCTAATGCCTGAAAATGAGAAATCATATAGATGACAGCTTACAAATAAATATAATTAAATAATATAAAATGTTGAAATTTTTAAATTTCTAAATTTCCAAACAATATAATATAATTAATGTAAAAAAGAAAAATTATGTTAGAAAAGCTATATTATAAAATATTTCAGATAAAGAATTAAAATTATTAGCTTAAAAAATTCTTCCGGAAATATTTTTGCGATAAATATTATTATTGAGAATTTAAATGATAATTTGATATCAATAAGTGATATCAATTACTTTTTAGTAACCACTTTAGTGGAGCTAGTTTTTTGTTTCTATCATTCCAATGTATTGATTAAAAGGATTTACCGAGATAACTGAAGTGAAAATATATTCCATTCTTATCTATATATGCTAGATATAGTTTATATAAATGAAATTTCTGATACAGCACTTTTGCAATACAAACTATCAGACCAAAGTTTGTTAAAATCTACTAATTATATTTTAAATAATTAGCAACAAATTTAAAAAGAAATTTCACTGATAAATCGAATATTTTTGAAACACTTTAAAAGTATGCATTAGAAAGATGTAAATTAATTAACCTGTAACGGTGATAATATAAAAAATGTAAGATCTCCAATTCTATTCACATCAGTTGGAATTTTCATCTTAACATAATGCTCTAATGCGGCAAATATACGTCGACGAGTTGCTAAGATATCCATAACGCTTCCACTTGATAAGCCTTTTGCTACTACAATAAACAATAAATAAGAACAATTTTAAATCTCAGCTAACTAATTCATATAAAGCCTGTTTAATGATGATTGTAAATATAATTAGTACTTCAATTAATTGAAGTTCAATCCATTTCACAATGGGAAAATTTTCATAATATCACTTATAATATATATTCAAATACTTAATTCAATTAATATTAAAAAATTAAAATAAGTAAGTATAACAATATATACCATAAGTATAATAGCATAAAAATTGAATGAAGACATTTCCTTCTATTCAGATTAATAAGAAATCAAATGATAAATGATAATATTTTAGCAATTATTATTTCTATTGATTACAACAGTATAATTATTATAATTATTATGCTTAAGATTTTTCATTTTAGAAAAATATTTTTTCAATTATCAAATCTACAAAATTACGACAACTACGACAACTAACCGGGATTAAATAGAACGCAAGCTTTTAATGCAACAAATTCAACATCGTCAATTTTGAGGAATTTCATTGGTGCAACAAGTTGATCCATAATACGTTCACAATCACGAAAATAGATATTTCTGAAGTGATATTTTAAAGAATCTGCTATAGATAATTTGATTATGAATTTTGGAATTTAAAAAGCATTTAATTGTTTTATTAATTCTATCGATTTATTTATCACTTTAATCACCACTTCTTATCCGTTTTTATAAGAGAAATGATAAACATTCAAAATGCAAAAAATTGCAAATAATTAAATTAAAATAGATTTCGTCAATTTTTTAAAATTTCATATAAATCTGTTATCATTAAAAGCACAACTAAATTACACTAAATTAAGATATTAATTAAGCAAAATTAAGTGGTCTAATGAAACTAACAGATAATTTTCATTTGATAATTTCAATCAATTATTTTTTTATGCAATACCTTCAATTATAAATGATGCAAAAAAGAGACATACTCGAGATATTCTGTACTACTACAATCACCACAACGTGGTATGCATGAATCATTGAGTAATTTCAGGAAATCAGAATTATCTTTCGAACGATATGAAACACCAAGGATAATATGTTGTGAAGCGTAATTCTTAAGTAATGCTGTCTAGAATTTAAATGAATTGATTAGATGAAATAACCATTTGAATAATAGTATTACATCTTACTATATCATAGAAGGCAAATGAAAATCAGAAAACCTGATCATCAGTTGAAAGTGCTGCAAACGGTAATAAAGTTTTGGCCCATTCAATTACAAGTAATAATTGACTGTGAATACTCGTATAAATATCCCTAATAGTTGCTGTACGTCCAGTATCACTGGTTCCATACTGCAATTTGAATATAAATTTTCCGGAAAAGAAAAAAAAACGGAACATTATCGGAACATTTTCCGTTTTAATCTTTTACTAAAAATAAATAATTTTTTATTTTTAAAATTGGATTAATGAAAAAATGTACTAAAATTGTATTCTTCGTAGAAATTAATGTAAAATGACAAAAATACTAAAATAAAATATACGACTAATAATATTTTATACTATAATTAATAAAAAATATATGACTAATAATTATTTTATACTATAATTAACAAATAATATATGACTAATAATATTTTATACTATAATTAATAATTTTTAATTTGAAATTTTTAATTAAAGAATTTTCATAATTAAATATTTCAAAAAAAAAAGTTTCTCTTGTTTACCAAATGATTTTTTGTCCATAATGGGACATCGGTTTGTTTCATAATTGTTTCTCTCAAACTTTGCATTTTTTTCTCAGATAAAAGAAGACTTTCTAACAATGATCGTGGCGTATCCCACGATGGTAATGTTGATGTTGTTGAGGAAGATGATGAAGTTGTTGAAGAAACCATAAATTGCCTTAATATATTGCTAAATTGATTATGATAATGAATGAATCATTAATCTATTCAATTAATAACAAAATTATATTAATGATTGAAATCATAAATTGAATATGATATAAATTTTTATTGAATATATGATATAAATTAATGATGATCAATCATTTATGAAGAAATTATTCGCTAAATGAATAAGTTAAAATTAATGATTAAAAAATCATAAATTTCATAAGTATAGCGATAATTTGATGATTAATCATTTATTATAATAATTATTTAATAAATGATAAGTTTAAATTAATGATTAAAATACCTGGTACGAGAAGATTGCTTTCGATTCGTTGTTTTCGCTTGTTCTAATTTTAAATTTGGTAATCCAATATTAGTGGTACTGTGCGCTACAGCAGCGGTAACACTCGTCGAAGGTGATGATGTTGATGGAGTACGGTTCCGTCTACCGATTATATCACGTTCATTTTGCACTGCTGAACAAGAAAAAAATGATAAAACTAAGGAATGATAAAAGATGATAAGAATTGATAAAGCTTAAAGGCTGAATATATAGAATAATTCAGCACTATAAACATAAACATAAACAAATAGCGAGAAGTATCAAAGTACTAGTAAAGCTGTAGCACAGTATGACTGAAAATACTGTATACTTATATGAAACCTGAGATATTACTATAATACAGTATAACTGAAAATATTGCATGAAAATTTAGTATGCATTAATAAGATTATCAAGTTTAAAAGTTGGTAACAATGGCCTTTAAATTTAAGAGCCATTAACATATTAAAATTCGAAATACCAGTCAAACGTTTTAATTATTGCTAATATGATAATTGAATTCTTTTAACTATGAATTAAGAATTATTAGTAATTAAAATATCATTAATAAGAATTAAAAAATTTAATGATAATATAAAATGAATAAATTTGAATTTATAGATTTGAAAAAGGAAATTCTTTGTGCATTAATTTAATTACACGTATCTTCTAAACAATAATAAATTTCTTTCAATTTGAAAGATTTGAAAAAAACTGTTTATTATTTCAACAAATATTTCATTATCATTTTAACAAAGATTATTTGATATTTCAATTTATTAATTCATTTGTTTTAAAGTATTGGTGTTTGTTTACTCATTGATCTAATTAATCAGCTCACAAATATCATCAATTCAATCAACTTAAGCATTATTTTTTTTAGTGATTGATATCTATTTTGTATTTATCATAATTAAATGCAAGTGGAATACTTAAATACCAAAAACAATTAATTATTTCATTCATTCTTTCCTTTTTATATTTTGCTTAAATTAAAATGCTAAACTATTAAATAATTCACATTTCTTTTAACTAAATTATTATACTTAAACAAAAGCAATTAAAATTAAACTATTTATCAATTGTCGATAATATAATTTACATTATAGCAATTTTCATATATTATTATCAGTGATAAATAATTATCAAAAATAATTAAAGATATATTTTTGCATGTAGCAATTTTTAATATTATAATCAGTGATAAATAACTATCAAAAATAATTAAGGATATATATTTTTGCATATATCAAGTAATTTTAATTTGAATTACCATCAATTTTCATTCCAGCATTAATGCAACGCATGTAACGACATGAACGGCAAACTGCTCGATTATCTGTAAATTAATCATTTCATTTTGCTCATTTCCTTTTGTCGTAAAAAAATAATTCAATTTTTTAACTTAAAATTAAAAAAAATTTAAATTTAAAAAATTTAATTTTTCATTTTTTTTTAGTTCAATACTTTTGAAAAAAACACATTTCTTTGTTTTTAGTAAAAAAATTAATTTTGAAAAACAAAAGAAATGAAAAAATAATTTTGAAGAAGTTTCAAAAAACTTGTTAATTTAGCAATTTAACATTACAACAATTTTCAATATTATTATCAGTGATAAATAATTAATTTAGCATAATAAATTTTTTAATTTAGCAAAATTCTTTTTTGTTGTTTTAAAGTTTCTGATAGATAATTACAACAATGTTGAACAGAAGAAAGTATGCGATACAGTAATACAATATGACGGCGCAATTATTTTGCAAAATTTTAGAAGAGGAAAAAGTTAAAGGAAAAAGAGCAATCAAATAAATTTAAACAATTTAAATTTTAATTTTTGCAATTTTTCTCTTCTTATTTCGTCATTCTTTCCTATTGTATTAATAAACCAAACATTTAATTTCAACGTTTTAAATGAACAAATTTATCAGTAATAAAATTGACTGTCTTCTTTAAACTTTTTATGATAGACGAATTAATTACGAGAGTTACAGTAGTCCGATTTACTTAATTATATGAATAATTAATTTTCAACGAATCTATCATAATCCATTTTTATTTTAACCTTGAAAAATTTTCATTTTTTTCGTATTTTCATTTATTCAGTACTAATTTAAGTTTTCAATTAATTAATCTATCATTCAGTAATCATTATTGTCTTAATTTTTTCTTTGAAGATTTCATTCAATAAAAATAATGATAAAGAGAAAAGATAATATTTTTTGGGACAAAAAAAGTTTTTTTAAAAATTATTTCAATTTTTAAGTATATATAAATTAACAAAAGAATAAGTAAGTGAACGGAAAAAGTATTTCACGTCATTTCACGTATAAGCACTTACGTAATGCACTTGAAAGTGATAAACGGAAAAGTATTCCACGTCATTCCACGTATAAACACTTACGCAATACACTTGAAAGTGATAAACGGAAAAAGTATTTCACGCCATTTCACGTATAAATAATTTACGTAATACATTTGAAAATGATAGGAAAAAAGTTATAAAAGATAAAAATCATTTTGAAAAACATTTCTTACAAATAACTCACGTTTATCAATATTGCAATTATCATTGAAACGACATGAATATCTATAACCACGTCGAATAGTTCGCCTGAAGAAACCTGCAAAAAAAATTCACTAATTATCGTCTCGAAAATTTGATGATAATTTAAATTGATGATAATGATAATTGAATTGATAATGAATTAATATAATAATTGATAATAATGATAATGAGAAATGATGATAATATCAAAAAATTGATGATATAGGCAATTTTAATTGAAATTCAATATTGAAATCTTGCACTTGAAAAGGACAAAAATTGATTTCGGATAACAAAAAACCAATAGGATGAAAAAAATGGAAATAAAATGATTTCTTTCAATATACTTTCAAACCGGATATTTAATTAATGATTGCAAGAAAGTCGGAAATATTTGATAATGAAAATTATAAGACAAATTGTCTTTTTTTTTCTTAGTTTTAAATTAATTAAATTTAGAATTAATGATATAGCAATTTTTACCTTTACATCCATTACATGCAATCGTTCCGTAATGTCGACCTGTTGCCTGATCACCGCATACCGCACATAATAAATCATTATTATCTAAAAAAAAAATTATACCAGTGATGCAGCAATTTTTACCTTTAAAAAATGATTAATTAGAAAATGGTAATTAATTTTAAGAGCAATTATATTATTAATAGTTTATTTTATTCTGATCTCCTTTTCATTGCTATTATTGCTGTAATTATTAATTAGTATTATAACTATATGTTAACTTCTACTAATACTATTTCCGAAATTCATTTGTTAATTATTGTTAATTTATTATTTTATAATTGCTATTTTTTTTACATAAACTGCTTTATCCTTTTTTTATTCATTTATTAATTAATATCGAATTTGCATGAAATCATTTACAATTACTTCTATTATTAATGTGTCACTAAAACAAAGAATTAAAAAGATTTGAATTCATTCATTTTTAATTAGTACCAAGAAAGATTAACCAAATTTTAAATATTTCTATCATTATTATTATAATATGAAGAATACTAACACCGAATTATTACAGTATATATGCACTTATTTTCTACTCAAAATAGAATGCTCAAATATTTAAATATAATATAATTAAGTGTTTTAATATTTTATAATTAATCTATAATTATAATTTTTTGCTGCCTTTTTAACACTAAATTACATATCTGATCAATTCATTATTATATTTCGTTAATTAATTTAATTTGCGCTAAAGTTTTAATATAAGTAGGCATTCAAATTCTTTTGAATTTGAATGCCTACTTAATTTATTAGTTATTCTTTTGAATAACTAATAAATTAAATCTAAATATTAAATAAGTGGATGATAAATAATTACATGACAGCTATATTAAAGTTACACATAAATTAAATAAGTTACAGATAAATTAAAAGTTATCAAAGTTACATAAAAATTAAATCATTTAATTGCTGCAAATTTTCCTCTTATCTTTTTCAATCATAATTTTCATCGCTATAAAGATCAAATGAGGAAAAATAAAAGTATATTTTGATATATTAGAATGTGAAATAAATTTAAATGAGTTAGATAAATACCATTATTTGATACAATTACAGCAATAATTTTAATTGATAAATTTAAATTTCAAAACAAAAGCTATCGTTAATTTAAATATTAATTAAATGGGTGATAAATAATCATGACAGCTCTACTTACTAAAATTATTAAGCTACTACCGTAAAATAAACAACAAACCGTAAAATACCGTAAAATAAATAACAAAATTGATGATACACTGAAGTCAGCATAATTTATTATCGATTAATAAGTATTATGAAATTATATGATCATAAAGTACTATGCTAAGTATTATTGATAAATTGTTTAATAGTAGTAATTGAATGAAATTTTAGGAAAAAGTTAAATTATTGATTGAAAAGATAAAAATTGAACTTTTTTCGATTTCATCAATATCTTTTGCGGTATTTTCGGATTTCAACATTTGATGCACCAAAATATCATAAATTCTTTTCCAAGTTTTTTTTTGTTTTTATAAAAAATTAATGATTATTGTTGCAACAATTTCACATGAATAATATCCTGAAATTTGCAAAAATAAAAAATTGTCGAAAATTTTTCAACAAAAAAAAAGATATGATTAAAAATGACAAAAAAAAAAATGATAAATGATAAAAATGATTAAAAAATATATATACAATGATATTAAATAAAATAAAACAATCGATTGATAATAGCAATTAATCATTAACTTTTCAAATGAAAAACAGTAAGCAATTATTGTTTACGGTAAATTTATCACTTTTTAAAAAAATTCTACAGTAACAAATTTTGTAAATAATTTCGCAATTTTGGTTCATTAAAGAAAAAAACTAATGAAAATGAAAAATTATTAAATATTACAAATTGTTTTCATTATTATTATTATTATTGTTATTATTATTATTATTATAAAATATTATAAATTATTGATATTATAAATTATATTTCTTTATTATAAATTATTTTTTATTATTTCAAATTATAAGCAAAAATTATTATTTAGCTATTTGCGCCAATAAATTCTTTTTATGGTTTCAATCATTATTTAATACAATCGTGACTTTATAATCATATCATCAATTTTTCAATTTCCATTTTCATTATCATTATCGTTATCGTTATTATTATCGTTAGCATTCTATCAAATGATCATTTTTAGCATTTTTATCACTATCATCAATATTGATAATACTGTTATCATTATTATCACTAATATTGTACAAATATTTTATACCTTTTATTGATAGTAATCGATTGCTTTATTTTCTTTTTGTAAAATAAAATTTTTATATTACAATTTATTGGTTCAATTTTAGGTAATGCAAATATCTAAGTTAGTTATTTAGGAAATTTGAATCATTTTGAAAATGAAATATTTGCAAAAATTAATCATTGTTTTTTTGCAAAAAAAATTAAAATGTTTTTGTTTTTGTTTTTATGTAAAAATTAAAAGTTTAATGCAAAAATTATGCAAGTTTAGCAGATACATATATACATATAGATTTAATTAATAACTTATAATAATAATTATAACATTTATTATAATTTATATTTTGGAAGAGTTGTGCGATATAAGCAAATTGCTTCTCATTGCAGGTTTATATGATATATACATGCAGACTTAATTAATAACTTATAATGATGATTATATAATTTGTTGTAAGTTATATTTTGGGAGAGTTGTGCGATAATAAGTAAATTACTTCTAAAACAAAAAAAAAATGAAATTAAAATTAGTACTAAATGATTTAGTGATGATGATATGATAATGATAAATAATGATTTAATTTTATTTTATTTTTTTCAGGAAAACTAAAACTATTTTAAAACTAGTAAAACTATTTAAACTAGTAAAATTATTTTTAATTTTATAAATAAATGAAAAGTTAATTACAATGTTTTGTAAATTTGAATTTTAGAAAAAGAGTAAATAAATAAACAAATAAACAAACAAATAAATAAGTAAATAAATAAATAAGTAAGAAATGCAAAAAGGGATGATCGGAAAATAAAATAATGTGATGTGATTGAAAATTTGCTCACAAACAACTGTTACGAATTGAATTGAAGAGTTTTTGAACTTTTGAAAAATTTTCACAGAGAGAAATGAGAGGAGAAAGCTTAAAGAAATGGCTGGTAATTATGGAACACATAAAAATGCTCTATTTTCAGTTTTTCTTATTCTTTAAAACTAAAATCTTTTTCTTTTAAGTTTTAAAAAATATATATCTATACGTATATATATTACTAAAAGGAATTACTAATTGCTTATAATCTAATTAATTAATTTACTATAATTCAGAAACAAAATTAAAATACACTTTTACACTTTAATATATTTAATATATACAAATATACTTAAATATAATACTAATATACTTAAGTACTAACTTTTACACTTTATTTAATATATACTAATATATTTGAATATAATACTAATATAATTTAACAAATATACTAATATACTTTAATGTACTACAAAATATACTTTAAAATACACTAAAATATTTGAAAGAATAAAACGATCCATTTTTAGAAATTATATTTTTAGTTTTGAAACACAAAAATTTTTTTACAAATATTATTTTAATATATTTCGTCTAAAAATAGAAACGTTAAGAAGTAAGAGAAATATTATGATAATTTGATAATGATAAGGGAAGTTTAATTGCAACAACACCTTATTTCATATATAATAATAATGAAATAAAAAATTATTGAAATTAAAAAATTGAAATTCAAAGAATTCGAAATTTAAAACTATCTTCGAATTTTCTTCTATCTTTCAAACTATCTTCAAATTCAAAAAAAAAAATTGAAATTTGAAATTTAAAATTATCTTCGAATTTTTCAACTAAAAGAATGTAAAATAAAGCTTACAGAAATTGTAACATTTTTATGATAAAGAAAATTTAATTTTACTTCAATTTTTCTTATCATTGATTATCACAAGCATTTTTGAAATTTTAGTACATTTGATACTGTTAAAAATTTAATTACAAATTAAATCATAGAGTTTATTCAATAAAAAATAAACCTTCGTATTGTTTAATTTCAATTTAATTGATAACAATTTAAAATCATTTTCTTTTTTTTTTTTTCATCTTTGTTTAATTAAATAAAGTTAATTTAGTAATTTTTTTAAAGTAACATGCTAAAGTAATATGCTCTCAAATTATTATAAATTAATAATATGTTAGCAAATTAATTAAGTAAAATTAATTAAGTAATATTTTTTAATTATAATAAATTAGAATTTTATCAAAATTATACATAAGCAAACTTACATATATACGCTTATATTTTTTAAAACACATGGTTTGGATGTTGCAAAAATGAATAATTATTTAATAACATAAAAAAGAGTAAAAACAATTGAGAATTTAAAAAAAGAGAAAAATGAAGGAATCAATTAAGTAATTATTAAATTAATCAAATAATATTTTTTTTTGGTAATATGCTATTAAATTAATTAAACAAAGTTAATTAGGTAATATTTTTTTTTTGTAATATGTTATTAGATTAATTAAATAAAGTTAATTTAGTAATTTTTTTAAAGTAATATGCTATTAAATTAATTAAACAAAGTTAATTAAGTAATACATATTTCTTGTTTAGCAATATGTTATTAAATTAATTAAATAAAGTTAATTAAGTAATTTTTTTTTAGTAATATGGTATTAAATTAATTAAGTAATATACATTTTAGTAATATATTATTAAATTAATTAAATACAGTTAATTAAGTAATTTTTTAATAATATATTATTAAATTAATTAAGTAAAATTAATTAAGTAATTTGCTAAAAGGAAAACTGTATATGTTTTTGATTGATTAAATTAAATGATTACAAAATAAATTCAACGACTTTCCTTCTTCTATTCTTTATCATTAAAAAATGAAACGAAAAATGGGAAACTGATGAAGGAAATATATTTGAAAAAAAATAAAGAAAAAAAAGAGTAATTAATTAATTAAATAGAATGGATGAAAATTTTGGTATAATTGCAAAATCGATTTATAATTATTGAAGTGCAATTAGAAGAGAGAGAGAGAGAGAGAGAGAGAGAGAGAGAGAAGAGAATAATGATTGTTGATCAAACAAGAAGCAATATGATGACATCTTTGTTTCGCATTTATAAATATGAATTACTGTTGCTATTTGAAATTATTTTGCACGATGAATTTGGAAAAAAACAATGATTTGTTATCATCATTATCATTATCATTATCAATCAAATAATTAAAATTATCATTATCACATATTTCGTCCATTTTTTACTGAATAATATACATATATATCGTATAACAAAGAATAATTAATGATAATATATCGAATAACAAAGGATTATTAATGAATGAGGTAAATAGAAAAAAATTAATAATCATCAAATCTTTTGATATGCGAAATGAAAATCATCTGATCCATTGATAATATATAAATTAAGAAACAATATAATTTTGTGATTAATTAAAATTCATTAATTAATATTTTTGAAAGAGAAACTAAAATATGTATGAAAAATTAAAGGAAAAAAGAAAATCTTTCCACTTTAAGATAAAATATCATAGATTTTGTGCTACACTATTCCAACTTAAGTTTTAGTTTTAAAAGAAATAATTTCTTTTCACCAAAAGATATCTTTTGTTATGTGGAAAATTTCTACCGATGAAAATGTAGATATAAGAGTTTCTCCCGATGAAAATATAGATATAAGAGTTTCTCCCGATGAAAATATAGATATAAGAGTTTCTCCCGATGAAAATATAGATATAAGAGTTTCTCCCGATGAAAATATAGATATAAGAGTTTCTCCCGATGAAAATATATATATAAGCAAGAGTTTCTCCCGATGAAAATACATATATGCAAGAGTTCCTCCCGGCGAAAATATATATACAAGAGTTTCTCTCGATGAAAATATATACAAGCAAGAGTTTCTCCCGGTGAAAAAAAAAATATATATACAAGAGTTTCTCCCGATGAAAATATAAATTCAAAAATTTCTCCTGATGAAAAAATATATATGCAAGAGTTTCTCCCGATGAAAAAAATATATATATATAGATTTCTCTTGATGAAAAAATATATATATGAGAGATTCTCCCGATGAAAATATATATAAGGAAGAGTTCCTCCCGGCGAAAAAATATGTACAAGAGTTTCTCTCGATGAAAAAAATATATATATGCAAGAGTTTCTCTCGATGAAAATATATAGAAGCAAGAGTTTCTCTCGATGAAAATATATAGAAGCAAGAGTTTCCTCCGATGAAAATATAAATGTAAGCGTTTCTCCCGATGAAAATATATATATATGCAAGAGTTTCTCCCGGTGAAAACATATATATGCAAGAGTTTCTTCCGATGAAAATATGTATCAGAATAATATCTTTGAACGTATATCGAAAAAAAGAAAACTATTGAGCAATGAATAGCAGACAACACTCGCTATATACATATACATGCGTTGTTGATAATGAAATGAAATTCAACATTGTTCATAACGAGTTATCATCTTAACGTTTAACGAATATTGATAGTGAAAGGATGTATGCGTAAATTGATATAATAATTATCATTAATAATAATGGTAATAATTGTAAATATTGATAATAATAATAATAGTAATAATAATAATGACTATAGTAATATAATAATAGAAATAATTACGTAATTAATAATAATAATAATAATAATAATAGTAACAATAATAATAATAATGACTATAGTAATATAATAATAGGAATAGAATGATAATAATAAACAGATATATTAGAGAGAAAGGAAAAGAGTAGGAGAATAGAGAGGGAAAAGAAAATTCGCTTCCTTTTTGTCAAATCGATGATAACGAAATGAATGAATGAATGAATGAATGAATGAACTGATGTTTGGAACTCCTATCAATCCTATCGCCCCCTTTCCTCCTCTCACTCCCCCGCTCCCTGCCCTCCCGCTCTCCCCGCTCTTCAATCTCTTCGTTACCTTTTCTATCCCTTATAAATGGAAGGAAATAAAATGAAATAATAATAAAAAGAACGAAAAAAAAGCACAACCATTATTTTTCCACTCTCGTACCACCATCATCACCACCACCACCACCACTACCACCACCACGATCACCACCACCACCATCACCACTACCATAAAATTTCTTCATCAAGAAAAGAGACCAACGGGAGCGGGGAATTAAATTCCGCATCAATTTTGATTACACCCGATAAGGGAATTTATTTATTTCCTTTTTTTTTTGTTCTCTTATTCTATTCCAAAAGAACATAATTATACAAATGAATTGAGTAGCAATTAATTATTTTAGAGTATATATATATTTATTTTGATTTTAATTATTTAACTTCTTTCCTTTTAATTACCGAAAAAATTTTTCTAAGAAATTTCAGAATTTTTTTTACAATTATTTGAATTGTGTTTTTTATACTGTCTAATGATTTAATATAAGATCATAATTATACTAATAAATTATTTTCGAGTATATATATATTTATTTTGATTTTAATTATTTAATTTCTTTTCCTTTAATTACCTTAGAAATTTTGCGATATTCCTTTTCTTTAAGAAATTTCAGAATTTTTTTTACAATTATTTAAATTAATGTGATTTTTTTACTTACAAATATTTTAATATAACTTTAAAAAATTGTTTCTTTTTGTTTCTAATATTAATTAATTTAAAAAAACAAGGAAGAATTCTTTCAATTTTTCTTTTCATATATTTCAAACAGAAGTGAGATATGAAACTAGAATGATAATAATAATAATAATAATGGTGATAAGAATGAATGCTTTTTTTATCATTCATTATCATTTTATTATCATCGAAAATTTTAATCTAATATTATCAATTCTACGGGTATTATATTCATTCATCGTACGTATTATCATTTAATATTTGAAAAGGAAAAAATTATTAATAAACTGTAAACAATAACAATGATGAGTAATGCTATTAAATCTAATCAATGGAGACATAATTCGATGAATTGCTATAAATGAATAAATGTTTCGTTCATTTTCAAATTTCATTATCAGTGAAGAAAAAAGATAATTTTAGATTTTAGTAGTCTAATATGTAAAAAATGGAAATTCGAATATCGACAAGTGGAGAAAAATAAAACCAGTTATCAAATAATGTAATTAAAGAAGACACAATTAGGTAATTACTAAGTTCATCAACAAAGCTCTCTCATTTACTTTTGAAAACAGTGTGATCAATATTTGATAATTTATTCTGAAAAGAGTATGATCAATTATTTCACGAAATATACTTATGAAAAGAGTATGATCACTATTTCATAAACAATTTTTAGAACATAACATTTTATTTATGGCTAATTAAATTTTAGTTTTAAGTTTTATTTAAACTTCAAATTAATATTAATTTCGAATTAATTATTTAAATTAATATTCATAAAATGAAATTATGTAATACTAATTTTACAAAAGCTCAGTACACTGTGTGATGTATAAAAAATAATAAACAAAATAATTAGGATAACTATAATATTACTTTAAGCGATAATAATTGATACAAGAGACGGAAGAGAAAGAGAATATCAGTAGTTTAAAGTAATGAGAGTATATATCATATCAGGAGGACGGAAAAGAAAATGGCTGATAAATAATGAATGAACGAAAAAATAATGCGATAATTAGTAGCAGAACATATATGGTCAGTGTATCGTTTCCTGAAATTGACCGATTAGTTTAATGTCATACCACCTAATTAAATGAATTTGTCTGTGTTATCACTAACAAATACATCGGAATCTATAGTTGTAATATCGATGTGCTATTTAAATCATTTTATCAATTGACTATATCACTATCACTCATTTCAATAATTTGTATTATAAATACTATCTACAAAATCTATTCTATCTGTCTATTTATTTCTCAATAGCAACACTACTTAAATTTTAACTAAATTTAACTAAATAATTAACTTTTTACAGCAACTTCAATTTCACCCTTACAAATATATTAATCGATCTGATAATTACAACAGAGCTAATAATTGCAAGATGATAGGTGGCAGATATGTAATACTTAGATGGGAACCACAATTTAGTAAAATGTTTTGCGCCTTTTCAATTATTTAAAATTTGCAATATAAATCTATATATCTTCCTGTATAAGAAAAATTTGATCAATCTGACTGATTTTGCACCGAGAATATAGTCCTTGAAATAATTAATAAAGATAATGTGACAAGCTTCCAAAATCATGCTGGTATCATTTCCAATGTATGCCTAAAACATAATAATACACATTTTATTCCATTAAATACAACACAATACAAACACTATCCGTACACATTTAAATTACTAACACAACTAAAGCAAAACACATGGCAATATATCACTGAGATCGTCTTCAAGCCTTAACAAAATAAAAAATTGCCTAAATTACAAAACTTTATATGAAAGAGTACAATTTACAGACAAAAGTTTTTATTCCCAAATTATAGAGCTGATCTTACTACATAAGCAGAACTGCAGAAAAGATTCGAATCATATTCGACTGTTCTAGTATTAGGCAAACAACCTATACAAAATGCTTGAGTTGTTTGGCATGCTAATATTACATACTAACAACAACTAGGAAAAAATTGCATAAGGAATGAATCCAAAATATGGGGAACGGACGAAAAATTTTGGAAGTGCATAAGTAATGATTTGAAAAATCAGAGTTTTTTGTAAGAAAAATGATAAAATTGTTTTACCTTTGGTTTGTAACAAAAATGGCTAACCATAAAGCCACCCAGCATAATAGAGAGCACTAAAAAATAAGCAAACAAATCTGGTGACCAACCAATTTCAGGAGGTCGTGCCTGACCATGATGCATTAACGAAATGAACGAATCACGTACCCAACGGCTATAACTGAATTGCCGAAATTTGTCCTCCGCTGCAATACTATACACGACCACAGGCTGATCAGCTAAATAATACTCAGGCCATGGCCCACGATCCAATAAAAACCGCAGAAAAACTGCAAGAGCACCGGCGGCAACTGTTGCAGAATGTGTTGAGCATAAATCTAAAACTGAAAAAAAACTAGCAAGGAGAATGCATTAATTTCCCTTCTATGCCTACATAAGTTTTTCCTGTATAATCAATTAAGTAGGTGCAGTTAAAGAAAGGTGAAAATAAATTCCTCCATCAGATCCAGAAAAAAGCAAAACGGATTCTACAAAATTAAGAACTGAACTTTTGGATTTTCGTTGTCATCCCAGATCTACTGTCGAGCTACTTTCTCAAGTTTCGTAACAACAGCTTTTAGAAAGTAGCATCCAAAGCAAAATCTGTTACTTTTAATCATACTTCAACTTTCCATGCCATGGATAAATAAAAGCTTTGATAAGACTGTATAGAACAGTTTGATTTTTTTCTAAGCTTCAATATTTAGATTTGACTAAAAACAGTAACATTTCTGCTAACACAACCAAATATCATGACTTAATGAATCCGTACCATACGAAGTATTCATATCATTGATCATACCTGCTTCGTCGTTCATGAAACAACCTGACGTAGGATTCTGCCAACTTAATATGGATGCAAAAAAATTAAGCGATGAAAGCTCAACAAAACCAAACTGTCCACAAATGAAAACTGAAATGCAAAGTTAAATACCATAATTTTGAAAAGTTGATAGTTATAAAAGGAAATATTCTGCTCTCATTTCTGAGATAATTTATTAAAATTACGAAAAATCTAGTAAGTGACGCAGAAGCAATTAGTAAAGTTGCAATTTTACTAACTGACTTATTTAGAATTGATAACGCATTGTAAATATAACTAGCAAAATATAAAACAAAGCTCACAACATAATAATAAGTAATGAACAATAAATGAATAATAAATAATAATAATAATTGGACGATTACTTCGTTCCATCAACAAATCTCGCTCATCGTAATTAAGCCTAGCCGTAAGCTTTGGATTTCGTAACAAAATGCTCAATTCATCGATCATATTTGTGCAATACTCTGTGACAACAGAAGTAATTGTTCGATTTTTCGTCAAAACGATAAAGTTAGATAGCGTAAAACTGCAAGAAGTCTGAAATTTTAACAGATTTTAAGGCATAAAGAGGAAAATAAATAGATGAATCAAAGAGAGAGGAGAAACGAATTTTCTATTGTTTAAAAAAGGAGTCGAGGGCCTGTTTCAGGGGCCGTGAATAAAAAGGACCACAAGAATGACGAAAAGAATGGCTACAATCCCCAACTTTTTTGAGAAACCGAATTTCTGTAATATCTGAGATGAATTTACACCACTAGAAATGGTATGTAATATAGGATCATCGAAATATTCTAGTATGGGAAAACTTTACAGAACGTTCGACTTTCTGTTTTTCTTATTTGTGAGAATAGAAAAGAGCCAGACTTAATATCTAAGTAAATTGAAGAAATTACACCTGAAAATATACCTGAAGAGCGATAGCAATGTATAATATCTGCTGTGTCAATTGATATCCTGTAAAACCACGTTGGTCAACCATTCGCTTTATACAGTCATTACTTAAATGACAATCGTGAGTCTCCGACATCAAGTTAGAATTCGCCAAAAGTAATTCAGTGAAACATCTAAAAAAGACTACCAGGAATTAAAAATAGCTTCAGCAACGAAAGAAGTTGATGAACTTTTCTTGCAGTCATTGACATTCTTAGAAATGAACACCTAATAATGCTATTTCTCAAAACTTCTAGTAAAATTCCATATGTCTCAGTAAAAAAGGTTGTGCATATATCGTTACAAAGTATCCACAAGGTTTTTTATCTTTGTTCATTTCAGTTATACCAAAAAATCAGAACTCATTTTTCAAAAACAAAAAAAAACTGTTGCAAAGAAATATTCATAAAAGTAAACCTGTTTCTTTGTTTTCTTGAAAGCAGAGCAGGAGAAGGTGAAGTTCTATCACTTTTGCTAGTTTTTAGTTGTTTCTCTTTCCATCTAAATCTTTCATCGGTGCGCTGCGGTGTAAAATTCATCTTGTATGGATGATAAAGAAGAAATTGATACTAAAGAGCAAAAAAAATTATTTAAATTAACACTGATTTCATTTCAGCATGACCAGAAAAACGCATTTGGTAAACGCTTCGTATATGATCAAGACTAATAAAAAGGTATCTTTACCAAACCGTGCGTCATTGATTTCATGATAGAATGGTCCGATCATAAAGCATTTTGTGCTGTGAAAGAAAAAAACTATGTTAAGTTTAGCTAACTGATCAAAAATGTAATTATTTGGCCGGTAATGGAGACATAACATAAAAGTGAGAATCAGAATGTATGAAACGAGTATGTCAAATTATCAGAAAACAAAGAAAATTTTAAAACCTGATTAAAATATTCCCTATCTCGATTGGCAACAAACGGTAAAGCTTTATTTGCAATCACGCCAGCCATTAAGCTTAGATTACGTATTTCATTTGTGATTTCTGAATCGATATTATGATCGTCTATATTTTCCTGTATACTTCTTAGATGACCTGCAATTTGGATAGCAATAGAGGGATCTTTAAGTAAATCAAACTCGTTGTAAATGACCACAACGAAACCGAAAAAAATTGAATTTATTGGATACTAAAAATGCTACAAATCCTGAGCGATCAACCTAATCCCTTATGAAATGACTTCGCGAGAGTACCAGCAAATCTCTGTTCTTCAAAAGCTTTATTTGTAAAATAACTTCCATTCAATCACCAAGCAGATCTCGTTCCAATCAGAAGCCAAAAAAACCAACCTTCAATAATTCGCAAACCAAATAAACCATCAACGTCGAGATCCTTATAGTAACCATTATAATATTCCTCAAGCCCATATAAGGCATTTAGAACTAAAGCAATTAATCGAGCACTGTCCCAACTCCATTGTGTTGACACCATTATCGAATTTTATCTTTTACTACATCAACACATGCTTAAGCGACTCAAATTTGAGTTGGAAACTAACATAAAGAAATAACATGAAATTTCTGTAGACTTGACGATTCGTCCTTTCGTCGAAGATGGCTAGAACAGTAAGATCCGTGAACGTGTGAATATCAAACGTTGATACCAAATGTTCTTATAAATGAAAGAACAAAAAACAAATAGTAATAAAATTTGACGCAGGAGAAAATTTACCAAAATCTTGGCACTGGAATTTCAAGCAAATATAGACGACGTGCTATTACATCCGGTGGATAAGAAATGTTCCCAGTAAAAACTAATTCATGCATCTTCCGGATAAGGACGAAACAAGAAAGAACATAGCATATTTTTATTAATAACGCTTATAAAACATAACAAAAGCAAACAATGGTTACAATATCTTCTTGTTTTTAATATATATCCAAGTTCTCAAAAGAACCGAAAAAGAGAGGGTAAAAAACAAATTTCAAAAAAACACAATAGGTCCATTTGCCTTTTCTTTGTTGAAATTGAACTGATTCTCCCCAGATGGAAAAATAGAGTGGTAAGCCATATATCCAAATCAAAACAAGAATAAACAGTCTGATGAACAGTAATAAATTATCAACAGCAATAACCGTGAATAACGATAATGATAATTATGAGCTAGCAATTTCAATGCTGCATTTCACTGCTTTCCTCAGCCCCACCAACCCACAATACGTTATTGCACCTGAAACAATTGAATTGAGCCGGATTATGAACATAAAATGCATGAATCCTTCACATCATAATCCCTTCAGTCCAATAACAATTACGGATGCTGCCAAACTGAGCAAATATCACAGCCCATTCTTCTTGAAAATCTACTTCACCAAATTTTTCTTTCAAAGTAAGTTTTCAAGATATTTCTACGACATAACATAGATTAAAAAAAACCTAATCAAAACTTCTCCAACATCACCAGTGTGTCGGCCATCAATATATTCTTCAGCGTTGGCTAACTGCAAATTCATGTAACCATCAACAGAAACCAGGTATCCTGAAATCATTCTTTGTTTTATCTCGTTATTTTCTCCGGCATATATGAGCTTGAGCAATACAAATTATGCATTTTTTCATTTATTTAATAATGAATCTGATATAGTATTATAACCAACCATACACTGACCCCTTCATTACGGAATATAAAGCATATGATTCTACAATTTGAATTTATCGTATAAATTTTACATTATACGAAGCAAGATTATTATTTAATGATAAGAAATTGGATTCAATTAATGGAAAGAATTCATTTACCTTTATATTCCATACCCCATTTCAGTTTGCAAACAACTGGTTTGCCGGTCAGTCCATTCAGAAATGGCTTTGGATTAACTGGTTGCAATGTTGTCATCGTTGATTTCGTACCACCTGCAGAATAATCATTAATAGGAGCAATATTTCGTACAGTTAAACACGTCGCTTCTTCAGCTCATTTAATAACACCAACAAGGGTTGGTGATGTACTCTCTTAGTGCAGTGTCCTTTATATTTATCCCTACTATTTATTAATCTCTATTATGTCTATGAATTTTTACCGAATCTTTCTACTTTACCTTCATCTCCTGGTTACTCAGTTATTCTCTGGAATAATATTGATAAATCTTATCCTCTTTTCAATAAATATTTTTAGATCACATTCAAATTTTTCACCGATTTGTAGTCGTAAATCTCTGGAAGAAAATTTTTAAACTTTCATTTTCTTACCACATTTTCCAGTTTATATTTCAATGGCTCTTCCATTCATATTCTATATTTATGTCATTCATAGCTTTCACAAGCTTATTTAATATATCGATATTTTAGTATCAGTGATATGACACTGTAAGAAATGCTAGTAAATTATTCAACTAATCAATTACGTATCACAATATTGATATTACTGGATACTTATCTTATATCATGAAATAACCACTATGACTAACGGTAACGGAAAACTAAACAAGTAAAAAGGATAACACAGTATACTCAACTGAAGCCTGAAAATAGAAATTCAAAGAATCCAACTTCAACCCTCCTAACACAACATGCGAAGTTCAATGTAAAAAAACGAGTAGCACTTCGACAGCATGCAACGATGGACGAAACGAGACGTATCAGGGCTCTTGAAGTGTTCATCTCAGCAATTCAATCAAAAGGAATAATTTGTGAATGGTATTGTTAAGTTATAGCATTCATTTAAACATTATTCATTCATAGTTTTTCTTGTATATTTCTTAACTTTTGCACTACTAGCATCGATGATTTATGAAGGTTATAATCTTTTCCCAACCCATTTGAAAGGAAATGAATTCACAAAATAAATAGTTACGTTTTCCACACCTTTGCAAACTACAGTATCAATTAATCTCTGACTAATCTTTCTTCCTTCGCTTTCAAAATAATTGATAAAAATCAATGTACGATAACTTTATCAAAACTAGCTTTATCAAAATTGCTGCACCTAACTTCAATAACACAATACAACACAAATCAATCATATAAAAATTCCACGCATATTGCAAGGCATTATGAAATATTGTTATTGTTGTAAACAATTACATTTATTAGCAATTTCCTGCTGTTTGGTGAGTTACAAATATTTTGATTCTTTAACCTTCTAATCTTCCTTACCGCTTTTTGTAGTTTCGGCTATAGAATGATAACGTGACAGCTATATGGTGATGACGTGATAAATTGTAACCTTTAGACGTGGCAAATTGTAAAGTGTTAACGTGACAAATTATATGATGGTGATGTGACAAACTGCAAATAGCCCTGTTAGAAATAGAATATTTTACTTATTTCATAGTATGCATAGTCCTAAAACAAAATAGAGATGTGAAGAATTTGTTGTATCTTTAAACTCGGTCTCGAATTAATTTTGTTGAATATTAAATGTTCGGTTTTGTGCCAATCACATGGATTCATTGAATAATTCGTTTCTAATCATAGTTATGCTGGATATAGGTAACAATGTAAACAACAATCATAAATATACCTTAATCAAATAAAGGGAGGTGAGGAGATGAGAGAAAAATCCTGCTGAAGGCAAAATCCTGCTTCTTTGTTATTCGTTAATCTGGTGCAGCAGTACAGGTTGTCGTAGGAAATTTCACTGCTTTCTAATTGGTACTCTTTATCCCATCAATCTGTCACATATCACATCAGTGATCAAGTCACGATAATAAAGAATAATTTGAAGAGAGGTTTTTGAATTTAATTGCTTTTATTAATGATTTTATTATCATCCACCTCTTTAAAATAACAGTCGTCAGAAACTGCATTAGTTAAGTTCCTACTGAAAAGAAACCATGAAAGTAGGTAACTGAAAATGCTTTATTTTTTCAATTAGCATTATTGCCAGGTTTACCATTAGGGAACGAAGCATTGTATTTATGATACTGAAACTGTTGCCACAACATTATCAACAACTATGAATTATTTTTATTCAGAAGAAAAACCAAGCGCTGATAATATATTATGCACTTTGTGCAGTAAAAATTAATAACAAAAAAGAATTGATAACATTTGTTAGAAGCTATCAATCAAGAAAAGACATTTACCGCAAAGACAATCTTGGATTTATCAAATGTTTAAAATTTTCTTCAGTGAACTTATACCATTACTGATCGACAGTTTGATAATGATTTAATCAAAATGATAACTCTGTTTATTCATCATTCTTTAAATACCAGTAATGCACTAAGTAATACGTATCGATAGCATTCGGTAGAAAATTATTGCAAAATTTGACGTTTTCAAATACAATAATGCCAAAATGATGCAAAACAAGATAATGGATTAGCGGTACTTTTGTATTTTTCTTTTCCAATTCAGGATAGTAGTCTGCAGATCCAATAATCCAATTCTAATAATCATTCATCTATCTAAAATTAATCAGTTTATTTATCAATAACATGTTTCGCTGGATATTGTCAAGCAAATCTGTGATATTAACAAAGTTTTAAGGACACAAGCATTAAGTAAATCCAATTGCTCTCCGGATCCTATTAATAAACTTGGCAAACCAATAGGAAAGTTCAACACACAATTCGAGATGGAGGGAAAGAGAGAGAGAGAGTGAAAGCATATATCGCTGCCAAGTTCAAAATAATGTACAATGTTGCAAAGGAATGTAGCTAAGGAATTCTGCAATCGAAAGCATTATTTCATGGATGCGCTGCGCATAATATAGTTCGATCCATTCAAATCCATTTTTTTTTTATTTCACAAAAATTTTAAGAATTAAAAAAGGTATAAGATATGATGAAAATTCAACGATTGCTCAACAACATCATTTCCTCACAACGAGTTGTTTCGGATAATCTTTTCGAGTAGAAAGTAAAAGTTGAAAATAGCATTAACTGTCGGAAAACCGATATTATTTTATGATATAAGAATGTTGAAATTATGATCGTAATTTATAGAAATTTATATTGTAAAAAATTATCTAAAACAGCTGCCAATTAAGTAATTTATGATAGTTTTTAAGAGAAATTTTACTTATTTACGTGCTTGAAGTCATAGCTTACATGATTAATTGTAATTTAACAATGGATTTCATTTGAAAAATTCGAAACAACAAATTTTCATATTTGATAATTTTCTGTTTATAATAAATTTCAAAATAATTATTCACTTTAATCTTTGATGCCATCGCCTTCTGAAACAGAAATAATCGAATATTTTTGGTTAATTGAAAAAAATTTTTATTTAAACTTCATTTTAATTTTCTGTTCACATATTTATATTTTTCATCAAATATGCTTTTAAGAGAATTTATTAATGCATTAGTATATTTCTAAAAAATTATTAATACTGAAATATGTGTACTTTTAATAAATTATACAATTTGATTTAAGTTGTATAAGTGATAAGTTAATAATGTGAAAATGTGTTTATGACAAATTATTAATGCATAAATATGCTTTTAGAATAAATTGGCAATATGAAATTGTAAACCTATCATAAATTAATACTACTTGAAATGCATTTGACTTCTTAAGTATGGCATATACGTATTTATGAGAAATGTACATTTTCTTTTTTGTTATAGAAAAACAATGCTTAATAATTCATTGATAAAATTTTACAATCTAAACAATTCATGATGTTTGACTTAATAATCGATTAAATGAGAATTTAATTAATTATATATTTGGTAAATTTTAAAATTCTAAATCCGCTGAACATTAATCGATTAAACGAGAATTTAATTAATTGTATTTTAAGAAATTTTAACATTACATTAGATATGTATTTAGACCCATGTAAAGCCTGAAATTTACAATCACACCAAATATTTCATCCTAATCTTCTTATTTTTTATCATATACGAATTACTGTTTAGAACCATTCTTTAGCCATTTCAGATTTTTTGGCTGCCTTTAGTTTTTTTTAAATTATTATTATAGGAATTATAGGAATTATAGGAATTATAGGATTTCAAATTCATGAACAAAATTTGCAAACAAACAAATAAAAATAATAAATAAATGCATTAAATGTAAAAAGGAAAAAAGGAAAACAAGTAAAAGAAGAAAAATAATTCGAATTTCTTACGATAAAATAAGTATAAGTATCCAATAAAATAAGTATATATATATATATATATATAAGTGTATAATTTAATATAAGTATAGTATAAGATAATATAAAATAAGTATCGTTGTAAAATTTGATCTTTAATTTCAAAAACACAGTGATTAGACAGCAATTAGACAGAAGGGAAAGTAATTAATAATTAGACAGAAGGAAAAGTAATTAATAATTAGACAGAAGGAAAAGAACAACCCCGCAAATTTAAATAAATAAACAAATAATTCAAATTAATTGAAAAAGAATAAAAAGCGAAAAAACTGCAAAAAGCAAGAAATCAAAATTTTTTGAATTTTTATTATTATTAAAAGAAAATTATGAAAGTTGACGATTGTTGCATTTAATTATTATGCAAATTTTTGGTTACGAAAATGCATTCCACATAAATTTACACTTCTGAAGTAACGTGAAAATGGCGTGGAATTTTACATAAATTTATGCCTCTGAAGCAACGCGAAATTGGCGTGGGATTTTACGTAAATTTATGTTTCTGAAGCAACGTGAAAATAGCGTGGAATTTTACATAAATTTATGCCTCTGAAGCAACGTGAAAATGGCGTGGAAAAATCATGAAGAAATAATTTTACATAAATTTGCGCTTCATAAAAGTTTACATGTGTTTTATACATGAAATAAAAACTGTTTGAAAATGCTTCATAACGAAAAATAGAATCCGATCAATATGCACGCTGATGTATTTTTCCAATTTGTGAATTCCATTTGTCCTAAAGATATGCTAAATGCAATTTGGAGTAATAATTAGTTTATTAGTTTTAGATTGTAATAATTAGTTTTTAGATTCGAAATATTTCAATTATTGAATGGGAATGGGTAACCATAAAATACGACTCTTTAATATTTATAGCTGGAATTAGAATTAATGCAGTAAAATTGTGCATAAACGACAAAGGTATGTTTAAAGATTCGTAATGTTAAATGTAAAATTTAATCGAAGTGAAATTTGTATCCTTTATTAGAGATTATTTTACGATATATCACTTGTTGACAACTATTACATTAATAAAATATTTCAAATGTGTAACAATTATGCATGATTGATGTAAAATTTTCAAGACAAAATAATCATGCATTAATCGACTTTATCAATAATTTAATTATTCTAAAATTTCAAATTATTCCGATTTTAAGATTTGAAAATTATTAACTAATTATTAATAACTAATTAAAAATTGAAACAAATAATGAGTAAACCAAATTACCATAACTTATCAAATAGCCTTTATACTAATACATCGGTATTCAACAGCAGCAGAAAATGCATTAGAGTGAGGTAATATAAAACCATGATTTACAACAGACATTTTTACCATCATTATTTAATTATTAAAAAAGCATTAATTAATAAATAATGCTATCACTGATCACTTTTCACGTTTTCATTTCACGTCTTCACAGCCACGTGCATCAGTTTTCGCTGTTTTTGTACGTAAACCCATCGCACTAATTTGAACATTTTGTTTGATCAAAAAGCGACGATTGAAATAAACGAATGCCAAACTTCAATTAAAATTTTGATAGAACATTATCATATTTCCTTGCTAGGAAAACCAATTCATTGTATTTAGAAGAACAATAATTAATAGATGGCTAATAGATGGTTTTAAAGATTGATAAATGGTATTAAATGATTCAAAAACAAAATTCAAATTTTGAGAGAAGTAAGAAAGCTTCCAAATAAGTTTGCCAACTGATAAACTTTTTTATCTTCTCTCAAGATCTTCCAAATTTTGATTTGATAATTTACAACATATAATTTCATCGTTTAATTTCACTCAAAATCATAGTCATCGAATTATTTTATTTAACCAAAACATAGCGATTGAAATAAACGAATGTAAAATTTGAATTTAAAATTCGAAGAATGAATTTATTATGTTTTTTTGACGATTTTTCATATTTGATATTTTATTTGCCTTTTGAAGTAGTTGCTTACCCATCTAATGTTAGTATTGAAAGCCAAATATATGTAATTTTAGTTAAACGTGATAAAGGTACATTAACACGGAAAAGAGCAGCGAACGTTGCATGTATCGCAGTACTGACACACGTCTGAAAACTTTTTCGATTGAAAAATTTTGTTGTTAAATACATTTACTACTGTCTGGTAACATTAATGGATTAATTATAAAATTTAATTGTTAAATGAGAAGTATACTGCATCATTTTTTTGTGTAATTTTCTGTTAAATTAGTGCTTTTTCTTTTAACTTTTGTAAAGTAATATATAAATTAATATTGATTAATTTATATATTATAAATTAATATTGATTAATTTATATTATAAAATAAAATACATAAATTTATTGAAGAATTCAACTCAATTTTACCTCTTTGAAAAATATAATTTCATGTCCATATCCTTGTTGTACTCCATTAACATCCTGACTTCTTTTTTCCTACAATTATATTTAAATTCTAATTAAGTATTAATATCAATGCTAACAAATTTTCGCTATCAAAATTCAATTATGTAAAACGTATAAGAATTTTAATGAAAAATTAAAAATCATTGAAATATTTGATTTCTGATATTTTGAAAGTGATATTAGTTATTTAAGTTTGAACTGTAAAATTCTGATAAGAAAATTATGCATAATTTTAGGATGCAAAAAAAAATGAAAACATACTTTTATATAACTAATGACACGATAAAAAGCCATAGCATCAATGATAGCACTGATAAAGATGATAAAATCGGATAGAAGCATAGCAGCGTAAGCGAGAAAAGCGTGATTACATGGTCCATAAAGTGTTGACCATGAATGAACAACTGATTCGAAATAATCCTTGCATTCAACTGTAAAATTAAATAATATTTTTTTAAATTGATTGTTATTCATAAATATATATAAGTTATCATCATAAATATATATAACTTATTTATCTTATAGTTATAAATAAAGAAAGAAGATGAAATAATCATTGCATCACACATTGATAATATGTTAAAATAAGTATAACAAGTTTAATAAATATAATAAAGTAGAAGTATAATAAAGTATGATTAAGTATAATAAGTATAATAAAGTATAACAAGATAGCAAGTACAGTTATAATAAAGCGCAGCGATTAATGTACTGCATAACCACAATGCTATTACTGTTATCCAAGCATTTCTTCGATTAAATACACGAGAATATAATATTGGATATGAAACAGCAAAAAAGCGATTAATTGCTAAAACTGTTTGCATCCAAATGGCTGCATAAAATGATGAATTAGCCAGGGTAGATGACACCTGACGATATTTAATCCATGGAAATGAATCGATTCCAAAATTTCTTCTAAATTTCATTTAACTTAATTTACAATATGAATAAAAATATGAATTAAAAAGATGTGGGAAATTGAAGAAAGAGAAACGAAAAAAAGAGTTATATTAAATTAAAAAAATTTTTTGAGATGTTAATTAATACATAACTTATTTGAATTTAATTAATATATCAATAATTGCTTATCAATAGTGTCATGACAAATGTCCAAAAAGAAATTGATAATTTTTTAAAAGATAGTTTATTGATTAATATTTGCTAATCCTTAAAGTTAACTCTTAAACTTGTAAACCCGTAAAGTAATATTGTACACGACAAATTAGCTATACATTATTGCTTGATGAGTAAGCAATGATAATTTGATAGCTTACACAATAATTCTTGTAAGTGTCCATATAGTTAAGACAGCAGTAGTTTGTATATGAAATATAACATATGTGGTGAATAGAATTCCAAATGCATTATGATATCGTGGTGATTTATAAACGATATGAAGAGATATTCCATATGTGAATAGTCCGAGTATTCCTAGCTGAAATGGAAGAAAATCTCAGAATAAATTTTGCCATATAGTTAATTCATTTGATTTCAAAATAAATTTAATAAGAAACAATAAAAAATGAAACAGAAAATTTTCATGATACTTTACAGACTATAAAATAATTCAGTTGATAAATTAATTCAGCTGAGATATTTGAATTTCTTTTTTTTATTGTTTTTGCTAAGCAATTAATGAGATGATAAAATTTTTGGTTGTTTTCAAATGATACCGGTATAGCGAATGCATAGTTAGCCACATCAGAATCAATGTATGTATGATTTCCCATTCTTCATTTAAGAGTGAAATGAAATTCTAATTTATTTTGGTACCATTTCAACTAACTGAAATTACATCTTATCAATCCAAAATGATATGATAAAACATTCATTTAACAATTTGGAAGAATGACTTATAATGCAGCTTTTTTTACCTAATGAAATTCGAAGCTAACATTAGCTCTATACGACAGAGAACAGAAAATATTTTATATTCAAGAGAAAAGAAAAATTGAAGTAATGTTGATTAGGTAAAACGATTTTGCACTCTTGTTTTCCATGGAACTAATTGGAAAAAATTTTCAAATTAATTTCATAAGCTAGTAGTTGTAAAATCTCACTCTCCTTACCTCAAGTTTGGGATAATATATTATTAAGTCAAAAAATTAAATTAGGCTGTTAAATTTATTTGATGCAATATTTTCAATAATATTATCATTAAAAGTTCAAATGAAATCATCGACTGAAATTCATGCATTGGCAAATTTGATTAGAGAAGAATTGATTAATAAAGATGGCTTTCTTTTTTTACTGTTTGAATAAATTTTAAACTTCCATCTATCCTTGAAATGATCGTTAATTTAGGAACAAAAAATATATGTATCGTTGAATTGGGATATCTTAATAAATAAAAATATTTCATTACAGTTTTCTTATTTGCATATAAATGTGTACGCATTATTATTTGGGAAATATTCTTCAGCCACCTGAAATTTTCCGACTATTCCTGAAATTCTTCATTTTTGATAAATCATAGGATTGTTGTTTTAAGTTTAATTATAAAATTGCTAATTAAAGGAAACTAATAAATAAACTATTAAGAGTTTTGTAAAATTTTAGGTATTTTTGAATAATTTTTTTGGACTTTTTTCAAATAATGATCAATTATTGTTTAATATTAATTCTTGGATGAAAAGAAGTGAATAATTCGCCGTATTTTACAAGGTTTTTAATAGTTTTATATACGAGCACCTAAGTATCTTTAATTAATTAACAAGTGTACATTTGCGCCACTTTAATAGACAACAAAGCAAGCATACATTTGCGCATTAGCAATTTGTCAGAAACAGGCATTTCATGCTATTTTAATTAATAAGGAAAATGCATATGTCAGAGCGTTAGCAGCTTACCGCAACTCTTTTATTTTAATTACTTCAAACGACAGTAAATGAGCATTCATGCAAATATCGCACAATGAAAATCGAAATTATTGCAGAATACTATTTGAAGATGATTAAGATTTTGATTGAAGTTAATTTTTCTCATTGTTTGAATGTACTAAAAGACGATCTGTTTCATCCACACCATACATACTTGATCATTTTCAACATATTGAAATTAAAATTTATCAATAATGAAATTTTGCTTATCTTGAACCAGCGTATAAGTTCTGCCGTTGGTGTCTCCAATTCCCATTAGAGTTATTCCGGAAGTTTTCCTACATCTGCAAGTAAGATGCTTGGAGTGCTGGTGTAGCAGTCGCAAGAACCTTTGCGTGATGAGAACTGAAATTTTGATTGTTTATGAGCTCCAAAACATCAATTATGTTCCGGATATTCCGGATCTTCATCATCAACGAGCATTCTGAAAAGCCAACAAATATATTGTAAATGAAGAATCTAAATGGTAAAATATCAACATGATAATTTACATTCTATTATTTTATAGTTGATCACCGTATTTTAGTTTATTCGTATTTTTGTATTTTCTTTTCAGCAAAAAAGAAAAGGATTTTCTTTTTTAGAATTTGAAGAGTAAAATGCATAAACTTGAAAGCAACCTTAATCTTTCTACATAGACAGTTTTGGTATTTATATTCTAAATTATGCATTTGTCGGTTCTAAGGAACAAAATATGGCTATTCTTTAGAACCTAATTTTTGGTTGTGACAGAAGAAGAGAATAATTCCGAGGAGTAATATCTCCATAATATGATTCGGAAATAGATTATAAATTATGTGAATAAATTAAATTATGTGAATAAATAAATTATATGCCAAATAACTGCCTAACTGCAAGGATCTGAATTGTATTGCTTAGTAGTGCATGTTAGGTACTGATAGGGTATACTGCATTGCATGGTTTATTGATAGTTATTGTGGCAGTTATTTGGTATGATATATATTTTGAAATGATTACTTTTAACAATGAAAATGATTCGGCATGCAGTTTCGTATTCATATACATGCATGCATGCATTGCGTTGTATGGATGAAGTGAAAGATTGAGCTTCATTGCTTATTATTTGGTGAATACTGAATGAACAAATATCTCATCAGATATGGATGCGAGATATAAGAATAATATCAGCAGGATTATCGCAACTGATTGATAAGGTGTCTATTATTTATTCGGCTTTAATCACTTAACATTATCAGTGGAATAATTAGATATTAAAAGCAGAAATGATATTTCTCAAACAATTTGGATATTTGCTTGCTCGATGCCGAAAATATATTTCAAAAGTATCGGACAGATAATAAATTTTAGTTTAGACATTTGTTAGTTAGAATGCAATAATCATTGGTTAAATCTAATTTAAATAATATATCATTTAGTTGAAAATTATTATTTAACATTACTAATTACTTAATGTTAAAAGTATCGCTAATTAATAGAAAGGAACAAAAAAGAACGAATAAATAAATGATTGAATTAGAGTATATATATATTCGAAATTTCACTTCCAAATTATTTTATAAATTTTCCTTTGCCTTCTTAATTATCTTTTAAATATCTCCATACCACTAAAACTAGTGATAGCAATTAGTTTGAAATTTCAATTAAATTTAGATAATTAATTAATAACTGATTGCTAGATAATTGATCTAAGGTTATATGTGATAGATGTAATATCAACTTTAACTCATTTACCTATCCATCCACGGTTAGAATTATTTCCTGTACGATAGAGTTGCTGGAAAAGTGAGAGCATTATAGTAAGAGAAATGTCAAAGAGCGAGAGTCATCGAACAGATGAGAGAGCTTTTAGAGAAGTCAAAAAAAGTGCTGAAGGATTTGGAGAGACGTGTACGGGAAGGCGTAGCGTAATTCCCTGCCTGATCCAATCTTTTTTTCCGGTTGTATGGGATTCTTTCGTTTGAACCGTTTACGAAGTTTGGTGAAGTGATTTGTAATAATTGAAGCTCTACGAGAAGTCTCGGGAAAAATAAGAATGAATTTTTTAAATTTTAAAATCTTCATTATCAGAGTATCTTTTTTTTTAAATTTAATGTTAAATTTAATGTGTTTTTTAAATTTAATGTTAAAATCGGAAACTTAATGTCACCAAAAGAGATTTTCATCATTGTTGCATTTTCGTCAAGTTAATTTATAACTACCTATACAATTTCTTTTTAATAGTTCATAAAATTTTTCAAAGGGAATCGTTGAGGCTTTGTGATAGTCCGTATATTCCGTAATCGTGTAGTCAGAGCGGAGAGAAATTGCATTTTTCAACAGGGAAATGTTATATGGGTAAAAAATTCGTAATGAATATGGAAACAACAACATGAATATTTCATCCTTTTTAATTACTAATTCAAATCGCGAAGCTTGAGTTTCTAACGGTATTGAAATCTCATCTTACCAGTCAACACTAAATTTAAAATAAAACTGGTTTCAGATTTGTTGTAAAATAAAGATATTGGGATGAATTTGGATATATGGCTCAAAAACTGCAAACTGCAAACGGAGAATCAAGAGTCAGCTCTTAATAATCAGTATAAGGAGGATGAGGAAATGTTGGAAAAAGAGATTCATTCAGAAGCAGAATCTGTTTTCCGAAATAGTGCATTGAAATTAATTACGGAATGTGGCAAACAATATGATATTTCAAAAACATATGGGTAATCAATTATTTGCCTTGGAATTTATCTATTAGGAATTTATCTGTCACTATGTACATTTTCATTTTTAGTACGAGTATTAAGAAATAACTTCTTAGCATCGTGAACTTAGTTTCATCATATTGCGCCTGAAAATTCAGTAAATGGTATTCTTGACAGTGCTGCCAGTACATGCCGGATATAAATGGGTGTCTAAGGTTTTCCTAAAAAAAATCTGGCTATACAGACTGCTGAACTGTTTACTTTGATTTTGATTAAGTTAATTTTTTAATAAATTGAATTGTATTAAATTTCGAAAAGTAAGCGTATTATGGGAACATTGTTGTAAAGATAACAAATTCTTCCATGTTCATTATTTTAAAATAATATCAGCTTAGCTGTTGAATTAAACGTACTGAATTGATAAATGGTGCCGTAAATGTGTACGTATAGCCATATTTTACCACTATAAATAATACGGTTTACTGGATAGTTTGTCAATATCTAACGGTATTCATTTCCAAAACTACAGTTCATTTTAAGTTCCATCCAAGTTATTTTATCCGCTTCCATTACTAGGACATATAAATCAGTCGATTCGTAGGAGTGGGTGGTTACTTTAATTGCGATATTAGTTTTATAGCTCTAGTTTTCCTTGTGGAACAAACGATTTTATCATCACCGCAAGGAAATAATTAAATAACATTTCAGAACACAACAACCGTCATCAGATATTGAATGCCTGAAAGACCAAGTGCTGCAGAATTCTGGTACAGCATTAGAAATACAAGCGTTGCGAGATTTAAAGTCAGGCGAGATTACCGGTTATATCGAAGTGTTGAATGACAGAAATATTGAAACAGGTGATGCAAAAACATCAATGTCTCTCACCAGGTTAGATACATCTATATAGATACGTAGTAAGATTAGTTCTACTTCTAGAAATAGTAGACTTTCACAGTCCGAAATCATAAATTTTTTCATTTGATAAAGAAAGGAATGCATGAAGGACAGCAGGACAAAACAAATCTGCTTTTAATTTTATATAATTGTGAAGCGCACTTGAAATTGTAGTCGTTACTGTTGATACGAAGCACTACATCCTAATCAGCCATTGAGTTATGAACATTGAAGAATTTCTTTGGTATAAAGGAACAAGGGAGAGAATTGGTTTTAGTAAGGACGAGAGAGATAAGACGGGGAAGAAGATTACGTTTGCCAACTTGACTATTATTCCACTGGATTTTAGGTCTCCAGATCTCAAAAATGCTTCAAATTTTATGGGTTCTGCAAGCAACATTCCTTTTATGCCCGGTAAATGTTTCGTTTTTAGTATTCATTGTTACAACGACATAAATAACTTCAAAAAGTGACTCGAAAAAAAAGCAGAAGATCTGCAAACTATTTTTTCTCCACTGTGGGTTATGGAGAGTCGAAATTTCTATTTTGTTTATTATTTTCGTTTTTAATAGCTCTTTATCACAGAGATATCCACAAGGATTTTTATATTCTTCTAATATTCGCCGCTATTATCTTTCTTATTCACCACTACCCTTATATCTTCAGGTGGTTTCGATGCGGAAATCGAAAATGTACTTCGATTAAATGATGTTGGTATTATGACAGGCGAAAACTTAGAAGAAGAAGAATATCTGCATTTTAATGGCAAGTTTTACAAAGTTCCTGGAATATTGCTGTCATTTTGAAATAATTTGAGAGCTCCAAGGAGGGCTTTTTACAAAATTCTTTTCATTTTTTGAAACATAATAATGTTCTCTTTCATCATTTATGTTACAGAATGCTCCACATCGGAATTACTCTCCTGTATTCCTGGAATAAATGTTAATGGTCTTAAATATGATGACATTCATAATCTTCCTCAAGAAAGGCTTCATGTCGCTGATGGAACCTGTAACCTGGCTGATTTAATGGAATCTGTGAATATCAGTATTCCAGCTAGTTCCTCAGGGATAGTCAAAGATAACATTGAAAGCACAAAGGAATCATGTATTGAATCGGGAACTGATGAAGTGGATAAAGAATTTGAGGCAAAATTTTTTGGATTTAGATTGAACTGTTCGTGAAAACATTGCTCGAATTTTGGGGTACACGGTCTAATAGCTTCAGACGGCAATTCAAACTTTGTAAAAGTCGACAGGTTTTCTTTGAGTTATGCAGAACTTCTCTGCACAACCTTCTAGTGAAGTCCCATGCATTGAGTTCTGTCGACACATCAGAATCAAAATTTTCAATCTGCGTTACAGTTTATAAATTTTGTAATTGTTATTAAAATGAATTATTTTTTTAACAGTTTACCTAGGAAGAAAGATATTATGGAAATATTTTGAAATTGAAAAATAGCAGCCAAACTAGATAATAGTGTAGATTATTTTTCGTTATACAATAAACAGAATATCGAGTTTTGTTTGGCGACGAGTATTGCGAGTTTAATTTAGAACGAAAATGGGGATTGATGATCCGAACAATTTTAATTTCTAAATAGGTGCATATATTTTAGTGCATTGCACTTTAATAACAATTTATTTTTCTTTAGCAACTAGTGATCGCAGTGGAAGAAGTTGGATCAAGCAAAAAAGATGAAATACAATTGCAAAATGGAGAATACTCTTATGCTCATGTTTTGAACACATCAAAGAATGTTGAAGATTACCAAATACTGAAAAGTAATATGGCAAGAAAGGTGGAAATCATGAATCTTACTTTCCTTCAATTCATAGTTTTAACTTTTAATCAATTTTAGTTTTTAATTAGTTTTTCTCAATAAAGCAGTTGTAGTAACCAGTATCTAATTATTACATAGATTAAACGTGATTTCTTAATTAAGCTGTTTCAATCATTCTGTGTTAGAAAATCTCTTATGACCATGCCTATTATTTATTTTTACTATAGAATAGCTCCAACAATAATTTTACAAAATGCTGGACATCTCCCCACTACTCTGAATCTATCATTCATTACTCTTCTGTAACAAATTTTATATTTTAGTATCCATTTGAATTGGATCCATTTCAACAGCAGGCGGTCGTATGTTTAGATCGTGGCGATTCTGTGTTCGTTGCTGCTCATACTTCGGCCGGGAAAACCGTTGTTGCTGAATATGCTGTTGCTTTGTGCAATTTACATAAAACCAGGCAAAATTAATTATTAAGTTTTTAAAGATTATAATATAAAAATATGAAGTTCGGTTTAATCGCTTCAATTTTTTTATGCACAGTACAAATGCTTAACTTGGTCAAGAATTTCCTCAATATAAAAATTTATGAGTCATCAACAGCGTGACAAAGCAGCAGGTTAACAAAAATGATTTGAAAGGTTCTGAATATCGTGTATTCTTCTCAGGAAGTTGCAAGGCTCATGATCCATCGAATTATTTTGTTTAGATGTAAAAGAGACTCAAAACACTCATAATTTATTGCAAAAATTCTGAAAGACTGGTTTGAATTGTTACTTATTTTGTAATAATAACATAAATTTCGACTTTTTACAGGGCAATATATACATCACCGATAAAAGCACTTTCAAATCAAAAATTTCGCGAATTTAAGCTCATTTTTGAAGATGTTGGTCTTATAACAGGTGATATACAATTGCATCCAGAAGCTTTTTGTCTTATAATGACAACAGAAGTTTTAAGGTTGGTTTTGGTTTTCTCGAATGATTGTGAAGAGTTTGGCAAATTTGACTTCATATCGCGTTTTTGGGAATTAATCTATATAGAATATCTCTGCTCGTTCTGGCTTGCTTCACGTAATATAATTTTGTTTGTAAAACTATCAAGGATTCGAATCACTGTATTCTTGCAGGTTTTAAGATAGAATGTTTGAAAAAAATTATAATTTGGTTGCTTTTCAGGTCTATGCTTTATAATGGATCGGAAATTATTCGCGAATTGGAGTGGGTGATTTTCGATGAAGTACATTATATCAACGATGCAGAGGTTTGTTTAAAATTCTTAAAGACAATTTCACTGATACACAGTATGAAGCTGCGTCATATTATTTTCTAAAGAAATAAATATAAAAATCGTGAGAGGTCTTAAATGTTAAAGTTATATTGCATTCATTTTTATTGGAACAACAATAAATAAGAGTATTCGTGATATTTTTTCCTAAAGGGTATTCATGACAGGATGGTACATTTACTCGTTGGGATGTGCTAGTACGGATCATCTTGAAACATGAATATGAATTTTGTATTTTATACTGACATTGCTCAGTCGTTTTCGCTTTCTTACTGCAATAAGGTATTCTGATTAGATGTGACAGAAAACTGCTTTTGTAGTACATTTATGATGCAGTTATTTGTAAAATATTTTAGCGTGGACATGTTTGGGAGGAAGTGCTGATCATGCTGCCAGCTCATGCAAAAATTGTTATGTTAAGTGCTACTGTGCCTAATTGTGTTGAGTTTGCTGATTGGGTTGGGTAAGTCTTTTTTTGTAATTTCGAATTTTCGTTATGTTCAAGTTGCTGAGTTCTTAGTTGTTTTCATTATTTTCTTTATAAGCCGGAGGAAAAACACTAAATTCAGTTATTTAAAAATTATCGATCGCTCAAAAATAACATTTTTGCTCTCATTTCTGTTTTTCTATCTGATATGAAGATTTCAGACGAATTAAGAAAAAACAGATTTATGTGATTATGACTGCGCGACGTCCTGTGCCACTGGAGCACTTTTTATATACTGGTCAGGATGGTAAAACTAAAAAGGATATGTTTAAAATTATCGACAGCGATGGACAGTTTGTGCAAAAAGGGTATCAACTTGACATTTGGATTCATTTCACGGGTTTATATTTTGATGTCTTGCATTAAGTGTTGTTTACGCTCCGATCGAATTACTTGAATCATGAATAAACCCAGGCAGTCATTTAAGTCATCATTTTCGTACTTAAAGCATGCTGAAGTGTGGAAAACGATGATTTGGATGACTGAATGTCTGTTTTCTATTCAACATGCGTACGAAACCTATTGAAAGCTATACACTATTTTAGTTGGCACTATTACAGTTGATAGGTTCACTAGTTCAACAGTCTGATTTGAAAATTTCGACAATGATAACACAGTGAGTTGTGAAAATGTTTCCTGAATTGAATGATTTCAAAATACCGGTTCTTTTTTCTACTATGTTGGTATTCATTGATTTTTTGAAAAAATTTATTGTTTATTCATACATTTTAAAGATACTCTCTCGCAAGTGCAGCAAAAGCAAACATACGTAAAGCAAATGCGAACGTGGGACCTGTTGGATATCGACCAAATAATAAAATTTTAAGTCATTTGAAAAATTGTTGCGACATTTTTAATTTGATTTAACTATTCTTTTCTGACATTTAAAGTTGAAGTTTTGCATAATTCTATTGCTTTGCTTTAATATTCTGGTATTTACAGGACAAGAATGTTTACACTACTGTTATCGACCATCTGCGCATGCAGAACATGTTACCAGTCATTGTTTTTGTTTTTTCTAGACGAAGGTTTGATTTTCTTTTGTTATAAGGAAGAAAAAAAACCCACATCACTCCATTATATTCTTCTTGAAGAATGATTAAATTTGGCTCAAGTGTTTTGGAGTCAAACATAACACCAACCCAAGCATAAAATGATTGAAATTGTTAAGGGTCTCATTATTCGTCATCTTAAATTTAATAATAATGAATAATTATTATGAAGATGTGACGATAATGCGTATTTGTTGCGATCAGTTGACTTGACTACAGAGAAGGAAAAATCCAGTATACATCATTTCTTCTCAAAATGTATTGCGCGCTTGAAGGGTTCGGACAAAAATCTACCCCAGGTTAGTTTTGCAACCCATTCCATTAGGAACGTTGCAGCGCTTGGTCTTCGAATGTGATGTTTTCCAAACTATGCAACCAAAGTATCCGAGATTCCGTTTTAAGCCATTTCCTTAGCATTGCTTTCCATTTCATATGCACTTTCCTGTTTTAATGATTTGCGTATAGCCGCCTTGTTTTCCACGGATGATAAGTCTTGAAGACAGGAAGGTGAAAAATATAAGAGATTTCGGAATACAACTGATTTTTTTTCTCCCCTCCTGATATTATGATATTTTTGTTTTGATGTCACGATGTCATCCTCGATAACACCTGCATCTTCGCTTGTTCGAAAACTGTTCTCTCAATTCATTCATTGAATTAGATCTTCCAGAAAATTTTCACTGGTTTTTTGATTGATTGCAGTCTAATTAAAACTTATTCCAAATTTAATTCAATTCCCAGAAAATCTCTCAAGTCTTTCTAGGTATTACAAATGAAAGAATTATGCAAACATGGTTTTGCAATACATCACAGTGGTATTTTACCAATTCTAAAAGAAGTTGTCGAACTGCTATTCCAAAAAGGGCTAGTCAAGGTATTTACTTTCGCAGTATAAAGAAAATTGAATTTTTTATTTTCGAATCTATTTTCGAAGTGTAATGTTATTTTAATACACCAGTTATAAATGGATAAACTGGAAATTTACTTCGATATAAGCATGATTTTTTTGTTTAGTAATTTGAAGCGAGGTATTGCAGGTGTTGTTTGCTACTGAAACTTTTGCGATGGGTGTTAATATGCCTGCTCGGACGGTCATTTTCGACTCTTTGCAGAAACATGACGGCCGGCAGTTGCGTCTGTTAAATCCTGGGGAATATATTCAGGTGTTTGTTTTATTTTAAATCGATTCTGTATTTACAATTTCCTGCTGTATGGAAGCAATGCAATAGTGTTGAAGGAAGGCATGAAATGTATTCCAAGTGTTCAGTAGAACTGAGAATATTTCTTATCAATTTATGAGAAATCAAGCAACTAATTTTTCATTTTTTCTCAAGTAATCAATCGAATTATTTTTTTTTGAACAGAAGTTGTAAAGAAGAAATTTTTTAAAGTGATCATTGGCAGTGATTTTCTAGATGGCTGGTCGAGCTGGGCGACGAGGTTTGGATGCTACCGGGACCGTAATCGTTTTATGTAAAGGACCTTATGTTCCCGATTATTTAGACCTAGTCAATTGTATGCAGGTGAGATGTTCTCACTTTTCAAATTACCTGTTCTTGCTGATTGATAATTATTTGAAATAAAACGGAAAAAAATCAAAAATGTGGTGTGAGGGAGGAATAGAGCAGTGATGAGATGGAAGGAAAGGTACTGAACTTGTTTCTGTGGGAAATTCTCAGATGAAGTAACAAAAAACCGAAATTTCTTTTACCATTCGTAATGTGATTAATACAATTTTTTGCTCTGTTTTATGAATTCAGTCGTTTCAGGGCAAACCAATAAAGTTGGAGTCACGATTTAGGGTAACGTACTCGATGCTTCTCAATTTGTTGCGAGTAGAGCATTTGAGTGTCGAGGATGTACTAAGGAGGAGCTACGTTGAGAGCGCGTCACTCAGATCAGCGCTGAAACAAAAAGCACACTTGAAAGAGGTAAATCAGAACAAACATAAGCTCTCATAATTATATGTTCTTATGGATAAATTTCTTTAGGTCTGAGTTCGTACCCGGTTGGTGAAATTTTGAAAATTGGATTTAGTTTATTGTTTTCGTAGACTTTGTTGATTTTATGATACAAATATACTCTGAAACTTTACCTGAAAATTTAACACTCTGACAAGCTACACTAACGTCATTTATTGAATTTTTAGTATTTTATGCAATCAAAAATTATTTGTTCGAAGGCTGTTTACGTTTTATCTTAATCTTGAACGATAAAATCCACTGTTCTTCGGAAAATTATTTCATATATTTTATGAAATTGAGATTTCAGATAGAAAAACTGTTGGCATCGAAAGAAAATCTTAATTGTACAACATGTTTTTCTGTTGAAAGCCGTTCAATTGTTGATTATTATGAGAACCTAAGGATATTTCTACAGTCTCGAGCTGAATTATGGCTTGAACTGATTCGATTCTCAGTTGTGGATAAATTACTATCACCGGGACGTTTAATTATCGTTTGTTTGCCAGAAGTTGAACGAATTGCTGCTGTGGCAGTGCTTCTTAAGGTATTTATAAACCGAATCAGCGTTAAAATATCCATCCTGAACTGGAGGATCATTCATTAATCTTGTTGTTTTAAAGTCTTAATATTGATGAATGATTGGCCTTTTCTTTGTCCAACTTTACTAGACAAATTCTTATGGGGATGAAATTATTTTAGCCCGGTTTTTTTTGCTCCTCAACTCTCGTTAATAGTTTTACAAAGAAATTAGTCATTCAAGATAACAGTAGATGGAAATTCAAAGAAAATGACTTTACTGCTATCGATGGAAGACGACCAGCAGGTTGCGGAACGGGAGAAGCAACTAATAGATTTTTTTACGCGAATGCCACAGGAGGTTAGAGTCCTTATTTTTGGCTCTTTTATTTTAATTATTTCGTGATACTGTTAAAATATATTCGAGAAATGTAATAGTATGTTTTTTTCTAGAAACAACGAGAAATCTATGAAACAAGCCTACTGCGATATGCAGCATTTTATGGTCTTGAAGGCCTACCGCCGCAAAAATTCTCAGATCAAGTGCGAAGAATAGGCACTGTGTTGGATAACATACCACTTGATCGTTTGATAGTAATTTGTCAGAAAGCTGTGAAAATTGATCCGCTGGCTGTTATAGAAGATGTGAAAGCAAGAAATCACCCGAATTATCGGTAGATCTTTTTCTTTCTTGTTTCCTTCTGTAAATTTTTCTCCTGAATTTTTTATAAAATCTTGATTCTTTTTATAAATTTCATTGACCGTTATGTTAGACAAACCGTTGATACAGTCTAAAAAAGTGGTGTTAATCCTCGATTTTTTACTTTGTATTTAATCGTGAAAACGTTATGAGAGTATTAAATTCTTATCATCTCATTTATAGAGCTAAATCACCAGATCAAGCTACCTCGAAAGTAATTAGCGAAATTGATAATCTAGCAACAAATTGGGATAGCACGAAAAAGGGAAGTATGAAATTACCAGGGCAAGATATACAAGTGAACGATGTTGATATATTTCAAAAATTACTTCATTTGAATGACTTCCGCAGTTTTCTCATAAATGACTCAAATTTTCGTTGTCGACAGTGTCCGCTATTTCGAGAGCATGTAAGTCGATCTTCATCCAAGTTTAAGGTCACAGAAGCCCTTAAAAATGCATGCTTCTTTTCTTAGGTTATGCATCGCTTTTACTATTTTGGTTTTGTGTTGCCTTGATTTTTTGATTGTTTGATTTTTTGATTGATTGTTTTTGACATTGTTTTTTTTATTATTTCAGCTAAAAATTTTTTAAATATAGTGTTTATGCTGTACTTCGGAATTAATGGAAGGTTGTATTATAGTTTGATTGGATTTCTTTTTTGATAAAAGACATCAAATTACTTCTTGACAATTTTTAGTTTACATATATACATGATAAAAGAAGCCTACAAACGAAGTGCGATGAACTCCGTTTAAAACTTTCAGCTGGCGGTTTACTCCTCTCACAGGATTACTGCGATCGTATCAAAGTAATATTTCCATATTTAATTATCTGGATTGTATGAATCTTTACACTTGTTTAGTGGCCTTCTCATTTCTGTAACAATTCATCTCTAGATATTTTTAGCTTTTACGCGAGTTGAATTACATTGATAATTCAAATTTGGTCTCTCTGAAAGGTCGTGTGGCATGTGAAATACATCACCAGGTATAATGCGATTCTCATTTCTATTTTCTACCCCTCATTTGATAGGTTGTCTAATATATATGTGCCGTAAAAGTCGTGCAGATTGATTTTATGCTGATTTTTTTCCTGAAAATTTTCCCGTAGTTCTATTAAATAATCGCAGATCAGCAATGAAATGAAAGGTGGATTGTATTAAGGAACTATATTTTTAGGAATTGCTGATTACGGAATTGATGCTAGATAACAAGTTCCATTATCGCTCAGCTGCAGAAATAGCAGCTATGCTTTCAGTAACCACATGTCAGCATAGGTCAAGAGAAAGTGAACACAGAAAAGACAAGGAAGGTGAAATTGTGCAAGCGCCAGCAGTATTGAAGGAGGTAAAATTGTCTTTACTCATTGATGGTATATGTATGAAATTAGACAAACATGGCTACAAGTGCAAAGGGCAGACATGATTGCAAGTGTATGAAGAAAATTTCTCGTTTTTAAATGAAACATAACTTAGAATTTGAGGAAGAAGAAAAGAAACAGTGTGGTGCGTAGCTGAAAAGAATGCAAAATTCGAAGTAATTTTTGGATAAGCTTACAATTTTTTTCCTAGTCTGAAAATGTTCATTTTTTAGTTGAAAGATGACATCATTGAAGTGTGCAGCAGAATTGGAAGAATTCAGCGGGAATGTGGTATAAAAGATATCGACATTTCTGAAGAACTGAGCTTTGATTTGATGCATGCCGTTTATGAATGGGCAAATTCAATGGTAAAATTGCGAAGTTTTCCATTTCATTTTATTGCTTTTATTTACATTTTTGAAAGTTTATTAGAAATTGGACAATATTTATTAGAACGTAGGGTATATTGGCTTTCCATGTCAAAGCTTGTTTTTGCACTTGGCTTTTTTGAAACTCATAATCGATTAAGTCATTAGACCTTTTCCAGATAATTATTTAATATTGCCATGAATCTCATTTATCCTGGAGAAACAGAATTTTGTAATTTTCGAAGATTTCTGATTTTTGTCATGTAAATTCACAATGCTAGTCGTCCAAACTTCCTTAATTCACTCATTGGTCAGACTATTGCAATATGTTACAGTTTATTGTCTTCATCTACTTCAGACGCTTAAACAAGTTTTTTCCGCCTCAAATTCACTATACCTTTGGATTTTATTCGGAGCGCAGTGATTAGCTGTCACAAATTGATTATAAGATTGTCATATTCGGTGTTATAATTTAAGTTAATTTGTGGTATTTTCAGCCATTTGCTGATATAATGCAGCTGACGGATGCACAAGAAGGTTTGATTGTACGTTGCATACAAAGGTTAGATGAATTATGTCGCGACATACGAAATGCCGCAAGACTAGTTGGTGACCCTGCATTGTATGAGAAAATGGACGATACATCGGTAGCTATCAAAAGGGATATCGTTTTTGCTGCTAGTCTTTATACTGTTTTAGATTAGGATGTTACAAATGTTCATTTATCTACCTTGCATCTTTTTGAATTGGAATTAATAGATACAGCAAGAAGTTCTTTGAAGTTTTATGCATTAATTTGTGGAGGAGCAGTAAAACTTGCCATACTTTTTGGGATAGCGCTTCGAATTCTACCTTGTATGACTAATTAACAAGAATTGCAAATTTATTTGTCGTATCTATTTCTCCTTATTACACTGTGCAGGCTTTATAATTTTTGTATGGTATTGCAATATTTTCGTGATGTTATTGTATTATTTCTTGACATATTGTCTTGTATTGCTCATCACTGTTTCTCGTTAGATTATAAAGTCTTATGATTTACATTTTAACTTTGGACCTAGGAATCTTAACGTATTGATTACTGTAACTATCATTTCTATGACACCAGTCTGCATGACCCACTAGATGTTTAATTTGAGATCATGTATCTTGTATTAGTAACATTTCATTTCCTTTTCGCTCTCTGTCTTTCGTTTTTCTATTAACTGTATTGTAACTTTATATTGTGTTTTACTCTTTTGGAGTTTATTTCAGATGTTTCTTATCTGTTTTTGTTGTGCGTTTTTACATATCTTGAAGTTTCACGTGTATTCCATTTCAAATCTCCTTGTTACGAAGGTTGAGATGTTTTTAACAAGAGTTAAATAATATCTCGTACTACATCCTAAGTAAAGAAATCAGTAGTCTGACTGCAAAAAGGAATAGAGAGAGGATTTGCAATTTCAAAGAAGGTTTAATAATAAAACTAAACCTATTCTCAAATTCTTTGAATTTCGGGGCCTAACTGTTTGTTTAATTTGCTACTATAAACTAATTTGATGCTAGCACATATTGATCTTCGTTTTCTTTTGAAATCCTTTTTTTCCTTTTTTCATTTTTACTTCACGCTTCAATTAGATTCAGATGCGGAAGAATAAAAAAATTCAATTCATTTTGTTTCACAATCGTAAATCATAGATTTCGGTGATTTGGGATATTCTGCTTTTTACGATAGTATGATTGCAATCTTTCAAACTTAGGTGACTAAGTTTCAAAGCTTGATATAAGCCAAAACCTTATATAGGTTCTAGAGGTTAATCAATATTTATATTCATGGGATGGATTATTTACTGTCAATAATTCCATGTGAAATTTGCTGAAGCCTTTGAAGTTGCCGAAAGAAGGATTCCTTCAGAACTTTTGGTAATTTTCAAGTGATATATAACTTCACACTGAACAAAATCAGCTTAACCTCTATAAAAGGAATGGTAACGGTATGAGTCAAACATTTCTCTAACTTCGTCATCGTTATCACTATCCCAATATTCAACAATAAAATGTTTGTCATGTCATAGTTCACGAAGTTTGATTGAAGTTTAGAAAAGTTGCATTTATATAAATGTAAATCTTACAAAAGTAACTCACTCTAACTTCTTTATGATTATTTGATTATTTTTTACTGATGTATTTATTCTCATCTATTTCTAATTCATTTTTACATTGCTCTATTATTCATCAATTTTTCGATCTATTGTTTATTCATTATTAAGAAAGAATATAATGGCGTAGAAATATTTTAGTTTTCAAAAATTGCATTTATTTTATTTCAAATTTCATCAAAAATTACATACCTATTATTTTCATTTAAATTAATGATTCATTTAAGTGTTCGTTTTTAAAAATGGCGCATAACAATGAAACAATGTTTAATACAAAAAATAATTTCGATATGTTATATAGTACATTTACATGAAGTACATACAATTCATTATCATTCATCAATGGATTAAGAATGAAATTATTAAGTATAGTAATGATGTTATTAGTAATCATACTGATAATGCTATTCATCAGATTTAATGCAATAATTATAATTATAGTTGAATTATTTATAATGAAAAAATGATTACAAGAATAAAACAATTGGTACTATAATAAAAGTTTTAGTATAAGTTTTCATCATTACACAAATTGATTATAGTATAAGTTTTAATTATTACACAAATTGAAACTTACAATTATTTTAAATTAAGAAAAATTACTTTATCGGAAGTAAAAAAGGCAAAATATTGCAGAGAAAAAAGTACACAAAATAGAAATGTATAAATGATAAGGAGTAGTAGTAGTAGTAAAGTGATAATAATAAAGTGAGTAAGTGCATACATAAATGGATAATTAAAAATGATAATATTTTTATGCTTTTAAAATAAATTGAAGCAAAAAAGAAAAAACCCGGAATTTAATGTTACATATTTTCATATATATGTAAACTATATCATATAAACTTCGCCGTAAATTACACTTGCATAATTTTATAAATTTGTTTTTACATCATTTGATAATGATTGTTTCGATAATTGCAAAAGAAAGAAAATCACAAATTATGCGCAAAAAAGAAAGGCAGTAAAAATTGATTATTCTGCTATATAAAATCAAATCATATTATATCAATTGAGGTATTATTATTATTTCTGATTATTTAACTACTGCACAATTCATTCATTCCATATCATGGAAATATTTGAGCCTTATTTATTTTGTTATACATCTTCATTATCAAGTAGTTGAACTCGTTTCCATGACTGAAAAAGAAAAGTAAATAAATTTTGAAATTATTGATTAATTGTGAATTTATGTAAAATTGTAAAATGTTACATTAAATTCATTTGAGAAATTTGAATATAAATTAGCTCATTAATAAATTATGATGGATTAAAATAAAAGAAAAGAAAAATGTTATTAACCTTATTTGGACTATGCCGCATTCGATGGACACCACATCGAATATCAAAAGTTGAGCCAAACTATAATTATTAAAAATATTTTTGTATTTTAAATTTATTTTCGTTCTACAGTGCAAATGTAATTTAGAGGATATGATTTTACGTTGAATACGATATGATTATGATATGCTACGTTTGTACGACAGTATCATGAAAGTATATGGTTGAATGTATTATTTACGTTGAATACAACTACGATATGTTACGTTTGTACGACACGATCATGTAAAGTATATGATTGAATGTATTATTTACATTGAATACGACTACGATATGTTACATTTGTACGACAGTATCATGTACATTATACGATTGAATGTATTAAATTTTACTATTACTAAGATAGTTTTAGTAGCAGTAAAACTATTATGCTCAACAAGAATGTAATTTAGAAATTCAGTCAAAAAAAAATTTACTTTTTCAAAAACTGTCCGATCATCATTTTTCGTTATCCAAGCGAAATTAATAATGATTGATATAATAAACAGTATTATAACAAAGCATACGGATACAGCTAATGGCCCGAGATAATCAATGAATTCGAATTCTTGTTTCGGCATTTGTCCCTTTAATACAGAGAATATATAGAATTATATCGATGGTAATATTTTAACGTGTAAATTCTAACAGATACGTAAAAATTCTGACCATTGGAATCCATCCATTTGTTCATTCAACATTCCGGTATGTTCATTCAGTACCGGAACATGCAAGTACATCGAAGAAACTGGTGATTAGTGATGGAGCAAAAAAAAACAAAGAAAAAAATCATCGTCGCAAACAAAAATATGATAAAAATAGATTTTAAGTGGAGCACCTTCGATTGTCGACCTTTGATTTTTCCCAGAATGAAACAGCGGTATGAAGCGTTCTGTCAGAACAATTTTAAAACTGCATAAATCATGATTTAATGGGATTTCAGGAGGAGGGAAGAGGCGGGAAAGTAATTTTTTGTTGATATGAAGATGGATAGAGTTCAATTCCTTCTTTAGCTGTTTGATATGAATTTGAATTCATAGCAAATTTTTGTCAATTTATTTTTCTTCATAAAAATTCTTCATCAAATCATCCGTACCATATACTATGGTATTTCTTTCACGCTGTCATTTTTTTTTCTTTTACTCTTAAATAGTCTAGATTTCCTTCATTTTATCTGTCAATAATAATTCGGAGACTTTTTAAAAGTGAATTTTGAAATATATTAATAATGAAGAAAATTTTAGGAAGAAATAAAAAGTGAATTCCTTTTGTTGTAATGGATTATTATTGCTTTCAGTATTAATTATATTATTGTCAACATCTGCAGTATCATCCAAATAATCCTTAAACTATCTATCCATCTGATCGATCGATCGTTGGAATGCATTGCACAGACAAATATGATTGAAATAAGTGATATCTTGTCGGAATAAATATTTACATTTTATATATTATGTATAATTGAACATAATTCAGTCATGTGCATAATTTAACCTAATTTAGCTCAAATCTTTCCTCGGGCGAAAGTAAATGCATCGAAATGAACTTTTCAATTATTTCATTCTTTTCTTTTTTATTTCACGAAACATCTCACAATACTATTTTTAATATAAATAGGGCTAAGACTAAAATTAAAAGGAGGATATGCAAATTTTTATGAAACCGTTGAAGGCTAGAAAAACTGATTTTGAAGATTCTGCATATTACTACGTGGAAGATATGAATCAGATAGGAGAATGGAATGTGTTAAGAATTTACGGAAACAACTTTCAAACATTCGAAAGATTTGAAGTGAAAAAAGAAACCATTTCCATTCATCTTTTTAATTACTGCATCATTTATACTTTCATAAAGATAAGGAATCTGTGAAATTACAAACCCAATAATTACCCAAAAATACTTCCAGATGTCCCAAGTCGTATCTTTCTTGATACTGATGTAGTTATATGTTCGGGGCAATCATACTTAGGTCTCTTGAAGAATAATAAATTAAATACTGAGCTACCTGGTTTGATTACTCGGTAGTTAACTAATCAATGATTCAGAATACAAAAGCGAACAAATAAATGTCTTGGCCATCTGGATAGGATTTCTGGAAGTGAGATTGATTGAAGAATTTAATCTTGCGTTGTAAGAGCAATCAAACATGAAGATCGGAATTAAATGGTAACAAACAAAAGAAATGGGTATTGGAGGTGAGTAAACAATAGCAGGAAAATGAATGCAGCAGTTGACGAAGCAGTATCACCCGATTTAGACTGCCGTGCCCCTTTAATGGAATACAAACCTGTTCTATGATCTAGTCGATCAACGCCCCTGAATCGATTCCTCAAACTCTACCATGATTACACTTGCAGGGAACTCATAAAAGCCTCCATCCTTTTCCCCTTTTATTGCTGCAACCATAGCTCTCTTCATATGTCACCAATTTTGTTTATTTTTAATGTCCTCAAGTAATAAATAGTATGTCCCAATTTCGCTATCTTAAAAAAAGAATTACCAAAATCACAAATGTCATTTTCCTTGATGAGAATAAGGTAATAATGGCACATAAATTTGCACCTGACTTTAACAGCCATGACATATCATTTTAGGCAGTTATAATACAACACAAATATCATCTGATAAAACTTTAAAAGTTAGACGCAAGTTGAAACTCATGAAAAAAAACCAACAACTGCTCTAAATTTTAAGCTCTCTTTCGAGCTCGAAAGACTCTAACTTGCAAGTGTTTCAGCACGAGATAAAAACTTGAAGTATATATTTAATGAAATTTACAAAAAAAGATTCAAGGATTTCTTATTATTACACTCCTATCGATTCATCGTTGAACAACTTTCGGTACCAAGAAAAAACGTGATTGCAAATCAGAATTGTTTTACCATCATTATTGTGTGTTGCTGGCCTTCACTGTTGATCAAAGGGAACTACGCAATACCTCATCGTCCAAACGTAAAAACTTTGGACAATCAATTCTACGGTTCTGGCCCAAAGGCTACTGGTTTGTGAACATTATAATTTATGTTTTGCATGTGATTATCACATGCATTCAATCCAACGTTATTCATTTAGTTGATAAGCATAGAAATCACTTTCTCTACGAAAACTTGTGATATTACAAATTCTTTTAGCTATCAAAAATCAGTTTGTTTTATTCCAACACAAAAGATACAAACTCCTGACAGATACTAATGTGATCTTTTCAAAAATTCCTTGAATTTCTAAAAGCCTGCTTGATAAAATCACAATAGTTATCATTGACAAATCACAAAGAACATTCCATTTAATCTAACCTTTGAAATAAATTAATAAAATATGCAAAAAATAAATAAATAAATAGAAGTGAAAGTGATTCAAATAAAAATATACACTGATAAAACATTGACAGTAAAAATAATTTACTCCTCAGCAACCCGAGACGAATTACCTCGTCCACATTCTAACTGGTTCTCCCTGCCCTTCAAATTCCAGCAATTTAATCTTTCCCAGTGCAATGTTGTCCTCAGTATCCAAAAGGTTCATAGCCCTTTCAATAATAGCCAAATAATCCAACTGTGGCAACATACTAATACCTTTATAACTGAAAGAAGGATGGTACATTTAATTAACAGTAACTAAATTAAATTGCAACTAATACCATAATGATTATATCAAATAATACTAAAAGTAATTGGCATTGCAACTTTTCAAATATTTCAAAATATAACTAGCTATTATTCAGCTTGAGAATTGCAATATTTTGGATTGGCCTACATTAATAATGCATTCAAAATATCATTTTGTTATATTAGAGGTGTGAATGAAAAAAAATAATTCCTGCTGTATGGCTTTAGTTTTAATCGCAAAACACTAACAACTAAAAGGATTAAATAAAAAATGGAATGAGTAGAAAGGCTTATAAAAAAGCTATGGACGAAAGAACCAAAATTTGAAACTGAAATAAGCTATAAAACTAACCTCATAATAGGATTTCCAAGAAGTCGTAAATGAGTTAAACGTCGAAAAGATTTGAAACTGCGGAAATTGGTGAATTTATTCCCAGTAAGATCCAATCGTGTGATAAATGATGACAAATATTTTAAATGATCAATGCTAAAACATTAGACACAATTTTATGAAACAATATAAAACGGAAAAAATTGTTTTTCATCCTTTTATAATTTTTCCATCCCTATGTGCTTGCTACTGTATGACTTCTATTCTGTGGTTTTGGTCTTAATGTCAAAATATTAATAACAAAAAGGATTAAATAAAAAATGGAATAGCGTAGAGGCTTACAAAAAAGCTTTGGATGAGACCAAAAAGTGATTCCTGCTAAGCCTCAAATTGTAAATAATCTTCAAAACAGATTAATGCTAACACAGTGAACAACTTCCCAATCCTAATTCGAACAATCTTATTTAAAGCTACAATAAGTTATTCATTATAACTTATCTGCAAAAAAATTCCATTACAGGAACTATTTTCATAAATGCTGTCATTTGTTCAGATAGCCAGAAGCTGACCACTGATAAACGGTATTTAAATTGTTAAATATCGTGAAAAAAAAAACCTTTTTAAACCCAAATTATCCAGCTTCAGTTCTCCAATAACATGATTATTAACTCGTGTGAATAAAATATCTATCCTCTGTACATCACCTAACTTCTGACGAAGTCTTTCGTTAATTCGTAGATTCATAGCCATCTCATCATATATTTCGCATCGTTGTGGATCAATATCTGTAGCCAATTCTTCCAAGTTTGTCAAAATTGTTGGAAGCATTTTAATCGGTTCTAATTCCAAGATTGCAAAAGTATAGGTAAGAAGCGGCCACTGCAATAGCTTTAGTAATAAGTTCTGACTAAAACAGAAAAAAATGTTGAAATAATGACGACAGTTCGGACTTAGTATTTACAAATAATTAACTCTAGCTTGGGACATCTTAATGTACCATCACACACAGATAATTTAAATGAGTTTTGTTCTCCTCAAACTTCTAAAATAAATATTAACTATCGAAGGGCTTTTCTGCATCACCACAAATAAAAAAAAAAACGAATAATTATAACACATTAAAATTTAAAGCAAAACTCAATGTCCAGTGTTCAGGGTGAATTTTTGTTTCAAAATAATAACCAAATAAATCAAACATAATTCACAAATCCGAAAGCTTTAAAAATTGAAACTAAAATTCACCCTGAGCTAAGCTTTGCTTCAAATTGGGTACTAAGCTTTGCTTCAAATTTTAGTGTGCTATAACCTTTAAAAAACACAGCTATTATTATACCTTTAAAATCTCCTTCTTCTGTTCAATTTTTAACTCTTTAAGCAGTTCTTGACAATTAGCCATTAGTTTTTCGATGATATGTTTTCGGCCTTCACTAACTGGCTTGCATTTAATGTGATAGATATGATAAATTTCATCGAAATTAACAAATCCTTGTTCCATATCGACGATCTGATACGGCTCACCAAGTGAAGGACGTAACTGGCATTCGGCTAATTCACCAGCGATTTCAAACCGATATGAATTTCTAGCACGAAATGTTCTACGATTTGTCATATCAGAATTCTAAATTCGAAAAACTCAAAGAGAAAAATTAAAAGCCACAATTAAGAACAAGACTTTTTTTGATGAAATTTCAAAACAGTAAATCACAACTGAAATATGAAAATATTTACAAACAACATACCATAATGGGGGTCCACTGATCACCATTCTTCATTTTTACAATCACAAAATCAGATATCCTTGTCAATTTTACAGCACGATCAAATGTGACTGATAAATATGTAGCTGCGGTTTGATCGCATTCAACAGGAGCGAAACTAAATTCGGTTTGACTGTAGTCGCTCGGAGTGAAATCGAATACCAATCCCAATAAATGGACATTATCAACATCATCTTGAAAATATAATTTTACTTACTAAATATGGCTTCAGTGTTTTGTTTATGTTTTCTGACATCTAACATACTACACTTTTTTTATTTCCCCATTTTGTTCAAAAAATGAAAATTGATAATATAAGAGGTGAGTGCTCTGATTAATTATATAAATCCAAATAAATATTGAAAAATACTTGGATATTAAAATGTTATATCCTATGGTTAGCAGTTCAAAATGATATCAATCTAAGAAATCATGCAGAAAATAATCAGTTAAAATTACATTTCTTTCTCTTTTCGTCGGATAGCAAAAGCCATTCAGCGAATATCCAAGCACTTTGATCTTCGGGATCCGTAAAGAACGCATTTTCCAGTTTCTTAAAACAATGAAATTTAGCTAAAGCAATAATGCTGCATGACATCTTCTAAGCAAAATGCAAATTGCTTGCACATACATTATAAATGCAAAAACCTAAGACGTGAGTTGAAGAATGTGAGCTCAATTTAAAACATAAAACGCATAAATCTAGAAGAAATACCCTGATTTGAAAAAGAGGAGCAGAACTAAGTAGGCCAAAATATGCTCACATACGATTTAAATAGAAAAGTTGCTAAATAATCGAAACTTCCGGAGCCTTCAGAGCAAGGCGTTCTTCGCCACCACGAAGTTTATGCTTCAATAAAAAGTATCAACCATATGAGGCATTCTCTCAATGGAAGCCTTTCAACTATTTACTTCAATCTATATTACGATGAAAATAAATCTCTGATGAATTTATAACAGGATTTAACAAAAAGGGATATACAAGACAAGTAGTCGAACAAGTATTATAAAGCAATTTCGACGAAAAAATAAGCTATACTCGGTATTCATTATATAAGGCCTCTCTGTTTATAACTAGCTGTTTTTCAGCATCAGGAAATAAAGACGGCAGAAGATACGAACGATAATGCCATGAGGAATAATTACTGAAGTTTGCATTGATCAATCTGTCAGAAAACCTAAAAATTAAAGAAATTAATTTCTTATCGTGAAAATGATTAATGAGAATACTACAATAACAAAATTGAACCACCGATTATCAGACATTTGAAGATATGGAATGCTGCATAATTTAGTTACTGATGACAACTTTCTTTTTTTTCATCTATTTCCGAAAAAGAATATTAATAATTCCTTTGCATCCTGATTGACATGCAGACTGAAAAAGTTTAGAAGGAAATATCTAATAATCAGAGTTCAATTTCAAACCCTTAATAATTTCAATAGTTGTTAATCAAACCCTCAGTGGTGTTTGCTAATTTAAATGCTATCTTAATTATTACTTGAGTTCTTCTTCAGCTGAATGAGCGCCAAATTTGGCTACTTCTCGTCGATAGTCCCAGCAATGGAAATTCCTGCCATCTATGTCCAAGAATTTTTCACAAGCTGTTAATTCTTCCGCTATATTTGGATTTGGTAACTGTTTGAAGCACCAGAAGCGATGAAACCACACACAGTATGATTTGGGATTTGTCTTAATGCATGTTGCTTAAAGACACTCAAAAGTTCATAGTGAACAAGACTAAAAAACCTTGTAATATTTTCTCTTTGCGATTCAAGTAAAGCTTCGTTCACAGCATTTTATAGCAATCATATAAATTAGCAGATCAACTCATCACATTTTCAATTTGATTCTTCAAAACAGCTGCAGTTATAGGTGGTAGAAATGAAACAGATGAATAAATGACTTGAATCAAAATCTCAGAAGCAAAACTGTAATACTCTCGGCACAAGCAATATAAACAAATAATATCATACAAATTTTTTATATGACACCTCGGATGGCAATTACCAAACTATTACTGAACAAGTGAAAAAAGGAGATCAAATGAAATGAATACCTTTAAACAAGCTTCCGTTAATTGCATTTCTGAGGAGAATATGTTATTCTTTTTATCTATATTTTCTTCGTTGCTTCCTTCTGATAATTTCTGAAAAGAAAGCAGTTGCAAACAACTAATTATTTAATGCATTTAAAATTTGATTTTATGACTTTTTAAATTATATTACCTTTAACTGTTATTTTTCACTCTATTCAATTATTATTTTCCACTGAATTATATTATAATTCTCTAACAATGATACTGCTTACATATGAGTTATGAAACTGTACTGACTATCGTTTGCTCACAAATGCTATCTTTTGAGGATTCAATAAAAATTTTTTTTAAATATTTTAACAAAGAACTGTATAGGTTTCAGAAAAATCAAATGAATGAAAATGAAATTTGCATGTCGTCAAGCAACAAGTAAATTTCATTTCTGCTATACTATTTCTATTCTGTTACGCCTGCATAATTACATCGTTATTTACTCAAACTTATTGACCCTAACTTAAAGTTTTAAACCATGCGAGGAGAAGTGAATGACCAATATTCCTCAACCTCCAGCAATAAATTGATCACTCGACGGCGAATGTTCCAAAATGTATAAACCTCCGGATTTTTTTCAAGCAAAGAAGCAGTTAAAAATAGCATTTCTTCGTCTAACTCATCTGTAAAGTTTTAAACTTGAATTCATTGAAAATAGACTTCAGAATTTCAGTTGAAAACTGCACCTCACATGGAAGTCACGCAAGTATTCAAACCCTACACCAATTACAAATTCAAAAATCAAACGCGTTTTTTAAAGTTACCGATGTGTTTATTTTCAGCTTGCAAAAATACCCCAATTTGATGCGGTTTCAACTCAAAAATAAATCAGAAATAAACAGTATAGTAATACCGCTTTAGTATATCGAAATTCAACTTTTTATTAATGGCTTCTTAACAAGTATCTTACTGACCTTCTAGCACGAAAAAAGCCTTCTACACAAACTTGGAATAAGCACCCCGACAGCTCTTAAAACGCCATGAAGTGATTTACGCTATTTACTACGAAAATTTTACTTCAACATAAATTTTACATAAACGAATCAAAAGCACATAAATATAGATTATTTAATCAAGTGACGCAAAAAATATTACCTTTCATCCTTTTTTCAACAACTTGATTCCTTAATTTGCAGTAAACTTTCAACTTCTCAGCTTTTTCCTTTTCTTTCTTTATCCTTTGCTCTTCTGTTGTTGCTACTTTTTTCACGAAATGCATTTTTCCTTTTGATCTGAAATTAAATTGCAAA